TCAGGAAGTTGGATACAAGCAATTGACATAATTCGAGAAAATTCCGAGAAGTATGTCTGTAAAATATCATCAAAATATTTATCTAAAACGGCTTTAGTCAAACTTGTAAGCATGAAGAAAAGCAAATCAGTAGCACAGGAATCATATTCCATATATTTCGTATCTACAAATTTTATACGTTCACGATCGTCTCCGTCTTGAAATCTCTGCATTATCTTACGTATGGAACACCTACGGTGGCAGATGGTAGTCCATGCAGGATTTTCGATATCGTTATTCGAATCGATATTGTAAGCACATAATCCCAACTGGTGGTTAATGGCCGCTAAATACTGAGTCAATTCTGGATCACCATATAAAGTGTCACTTATTATCTCAAATTCTTCAGAAGCGTTGTACTCAGGATCAAACTTAATATCTCCGGTCATGCGACTGTGCAGCTTGTGCAAATAGCGATTAATTGTTTGCATCGCCATTGCTATAGGAGTGGCATGAAATAGAGCTAAACGTTTGACTATCAGTCGAGCCAGAGCGATGTCACAAGGTTCCGGTATAAAATGATAGGAGGAGGCCTTTAAATTCTGCAGCAATATAGCTGCTGTGTGGTCAGCTCTTCCGGTATTTTGATTCATCACACTGAAAGCGCATCCATAGCATATAGGGAAAAGATCGCAATAATTAATTCCAACAGCAGGAAATAACCGTTGAAATTTATCGAGTGATTTAAACGCAGTTAAATACATTAAAATTTCCCTTTCAAATTTGCTGCGAATATTTACTGATTTTTTGTTGCTTTCATCTATATGCCCCATTACTCTTGCTATTACATTCCAGTGAATCTCCTTCGGTTCTGTAGCGGTAGTTTCCACTAACAGTACTTTTATGTGGAAGGTATGTGGACGATGTGTGGCACCTGTCCTAAACTCCACATTTTCTTCTACTAATTTGATTTGATCAAGAGGACGTCCCAGCAATGTYAGCAAATTAAAGAACTGGAATGGAGAAGGTGCATTATGGGGTCCATCCGGTCGTAAAATCAATCGAAGTGCKCGTGCATAAGCGGCTCTAATTGATCTGAAAARAAWTCACAAWTAACGTCAGTTTSTTTGTAAGCAATCAGCRAAGTAGCAGTAATAAAATAGAGGACCTGTTTYAAAGGAACTCGTTTTTCCAAGAAARTRGCATTTTTTTAAGAGAAACAGACCATTCAAAGATGAAATATAAAGCACCACTTTTTTAGAAGAWWTCGGTAAGATTAAAATTATTAATTATTTACCATTCAAAACAGCAACCTTCCAAATAAAATCATACATGTTTGAGCTAATAATTCATCACGCAATTTGAAAAATGGCCTGTGGCATTAATTGTAAAGGTCACACGTATAATACACTGAAGTAATAAGTTATACATTTTAAAATTAATCACTCCRACTACACTTTGTGTAACCATTCTGTGGTATCAGGAATGTGATATCACTCCCAACATTAATCAAAATAATCACGTATGAAGAAAGCTCTTATACTTGTCGTTCCCCAGTTTTTTCAAAGTCTTATTCAATTTGAAAACATTTCAAGTATTCTTCATCTATGCATATTGGCTCATGAGAATGTGAAATATGATCTATTACTCTTGGTTTAAGCCGGAAAATCTGGGATCACAACAATATTCGGACACTCTACATTTATTTGAATTTCTCCACAAATATGAAATAATTATTCTTATTGCCTTTAAATTGATTGAATACATAATTTCTGGTATGTTATTTATTTTTTCATATTACTAGAATACCGCATTGAAGCACCTTTTGCTTACAAAGAAACTAAATATAAAACGAATAATTGCATTTTATTACACCATAAATTCTACGCAATTAAAATAGGTCCCATAAGAAACAAACTGAATTTAAGTTTCGACTTCAAAAAACCGAAAAATATTGTAGAAGTTAAAATGGACTAAAATGTAATTTTGGTGTCGTTATTTTGCGATTTAAAATTGAAGTTCGCATTATTCCTCTAAAACAACCAGCGCGTCCGAATTAATTAAATGTAAAAAAGGTTGATCATGAACGAGTAAGACAGAATCTTGAAGTTAGTGTCCACAACGCCTTAAGTTGAAATGGAAAAATTGTGGGGTAAGAAGTAGATGGGAAAACTGTTTGCAGATGTATTTGCGCTAATGAATATTTTGGACTAGTTGCAGTTAACAAAATAAGTGTTTTMGTCGACAGTTTGCGTTAGAATTTTCTTTAAGAGCGGAAGARGTGGATTGCCTCATTTGGCGAGTTATTGACTTCTATCAAACTGATTTGCGAATTTTATTCATCGTCTAACATTTCAGTCCTTCACTCAAATAACTCTGAAAATATTTTTTTTAATCTCTTCGTTGAAAATGAATTTAAAGCTTGAARGAAGAARTATTTTTTTAGTCAGTTTACATTAAAAACTAMYGATTTTCTTAATTTCAATTTTTAATAATCTTTCGTCTTGTTGGCTGTGTTATCACATTTGTTTAACTTTTTGTTAAAATATGTTTCCAAATTTCTCTAAAACTGCTGAATTAAAGTTCGTTAATTAACTTCATGTGTCCGAACATTTTTACAATAAAAAATTCTCAATACCCAAAGGTGCTGATTTTCGATTTCGATGGCCCACCGTTTAGCTGAATAATCCGCATTAGCGTTTATACAAAAAAGCAACTTGTGGTGATATGCGTATTTTAGTGATACATTCCACAAAATGGTTGGCAATGGACAAAATGGACACTGAAATGCCATGTGTCTTTTTTAACACACAAGTAAAATTTGAAATTTTGATAAACCCGGTTTTCGATGAGTATTTTTTGAATATCAACTACATACATATTGTAAAGATAAGCAAATGTTAAAAAACATACTAATAGTTATAAATATGCAAATACAAGGTGATCTTTAAGTTTGTTTTTTTTTTCGTTATACAGTAGATATTCAAAAAATAGTCGTTCTTTTTAGTTACGAATTTCAGCTTGAGTCAGGGATGGATTAAATCTTTCGGAGTCCCAGGGCTGAAATGAATATGGGGACTCACTTAAGGGCTGCAAAATGTGAACATTTATTAAATATTCAGAGTTCGCGAATTCCTTTCAAAGTTAGGGCCCGGGGGTACAGCCCCTGCCAGCCCCTCGCCGATATACAGGGTGGTAAATTTTTCAATATTTAGAGCATGTCTAACAAAAATTCGAAACTGAATGTGTCTTAAATAACATTTTCAAATTCAAAATTATCAAAATTATCACCATTCAGTTGTACAGATCGTTCACTTAGAAGCTTTAGTGTTTGACCCTTCGACAAAACACAATGAAATAAGTGAGTGTTTCCACGTATTTCTCGTATTCGGGCCATGCGGTTTCAGGATTTTAAGGACATGTTCCGTAAATAATCGGTATATTAGCTGCTTCCTAATTATCATATACATTTTCCGTAATTTAAAATGTTAATCTCGGTATTTGGGAAATGACATAACTATAACTAACGCTCACTTTTTTTAGCTCTATCTGGTGTTAAAAAACAGTATTTTGTGTAGTTGACTTATTAAAATTACTTACTTTTGCACTCTGCCTTGGGGCTTGCGAATCATTTTTGCCAGTTTTCAATTGTCACACTACCTACTGAAACGAAGACACATTTACAAATAGATATGGTAAAATACGAAGATATTTGTGTTTACTTTTTATATATTTCAAATAATATTGGACCCATATCACACTAATCCACAAGCTAAATAACTCTCAATTTATTCTCTTTTGGATTTGTTTTGAAACGGAAAATTGCGTTTAACTAACTGTTCACGTTTTTAATGTTAGACAGTAAGAATGTTTCTATGTTAAGCAAGTAAATCATCCAAACACATTCAATTTAATCCATAATAAATCTAAACGACAAAATTGCTAATTATTGAAAACTAAATTTTTTATTTTTTTTTATACAAGATTGAAAATAAGCCAATTTGATTTAAGTAAAGCAAGCAAAAGTTAGGCAAGTTAAAACAGCAAGCAAAGTAAAGGTAGAGACAGATATAAAAACATTTTTTTAATGTAAAACGGAGTGTAATATAAAACATTTGCGTTTTGAATTTAAAACCGTTAATTTGATATGGCTTGTTCCGTAAGCAACTGTCTTAAGATATAATTTAAGAGATAATTTAACAAAACTAGGGTTTTTTTATCGTGTACGCAAATCACCCTCTGTATACAGGGTGGCCATTTTCTGAATCTTTGTATGGGTAACTTCTACATTTTTAAAGATAGAGAATCCGTTAAATGGGAAATAGGGCAGAATTCGATTGCCTATTCATTACCGGTTGCAAAATTTAGGTACCCGACTTGGTTCCTGAAATATTCTGAAAAGGCAAGAAATCAACACTTTCTTAATTATCATATAATTCTTAAACTGCTTAAATTTAAAAAAAGTTAAAATTGTTTTTAGTAGAAATTTTTGCGTTGAATTCAATAAGCTAGCACTCGTTGTCATAGTCCACTTGATTTACGAGATAACAAATAAACTTATGTTTTTTTAAATGGAAATGATAGTTAGCTGTGGGCCTTTTAAAATCCTTATTTTTTTCGGAATTTAACGATAGAACTGTTTGTATGTTTTTCTCCTTTTGTTGCCCTAAAACTTCAAAAGAAGATAAAAAATGTGTAGTAGGCTATGGAAACAAGAACTATATTATCACACAAATCACAAAACAAGAATGAAATAATTAACAGACACAATCATGTTTGCTGGGTTAATGAAAATCATCATCTAATTGAAAACAGGCGAGATCAACGTGTTTTTTTGTGAATGTCTGGTGAGGCATTTTTAGTGATAAAATTATTGGTCCATTCTTTTATAATCATAATTTAATTATGGAAAGATGTTTACACTTTTTGCCAAATGAACTTGAAGAAAGTTCTTGTTTCCAAAGCCTACTACACATTTATACATTATCTTCTTTTGAAGTTTTACGGCAACAAAAGGAGAAACACATACAAACAATTATACCGTTAAATTCATAAAAAATAAGGATTTTAAAAGGCCCACAGCCAACTATGATTACCATTTAAAAAACCATAAGTTTAATTTTTATTATTTTTATTATCTCGTAAATCAAGTTGACGGAAAAGTGGCAAATTACATTAAATAAGAAAGGTGCCATTTAAAAATTTAAAATGCTTGTAAAAACACATTGCATATTCCATCAAAAGATGAAACTGGAAAACCATTACAGACTATTTGCAAGCAGAAAATGTAAACTACGGAAATTGAACTAAAAACAGAAAAATCAAAATACGTGGGATAAATCAGATACGCAAATTAAAGATTTCACAAAACATTAAGTAAAGGGTACCAAAATGTGAAGGTCATCGCCAAATGCAATTGGACAATTCAAATGAGAACTAGAACACTTTTCAATCATTTCATAATTTATTTTGTATGGATTAATACTTACTGAATGTGTTCGAATAAATGTTTATTTTAAAATGTATCTGGGAAACTCAGTAAAAATCCGGCTTTAAATGATTAATTTCAGAGTATTTGCCTGTGTTATCAGTTATCGAATATGTCGAGATTTGTAATTGTAATCAAGAAGAATGGTCCTTCTTCCTGCTTGCTCTCCTCTGCGTCCTTTTGCATCTGTTATCATTGGCAATTTTCTGCTTCTCAACTTCTACGATGCTTAGCATTCCTAATAAAATAGTATTGAAGTTCTTATTGTTTCAGCATTTCTTACAATAATTCATCAAAAAAAAAATTGTGACAGTGCATTCGGTAGTTCCTCGTATATAATTTATTCTATACTTAGTCCCACTCGCTTGTAGAACAACCCGGTTCAATCAGTTCTATTTTAATAAATCACTTAGCCGAGTCGTCGGTATTTTAATTTTGCTTCTTTAGTGCGTCGATGTGGTACGATCGGTTTTGGGCGAGTACCGAGCCTTGTTCTATGCTACCGAGTACCCACATCAAAGCAATGGCCTCTGTTGGTGTTCTTTACCTGTGGTTCTTGTAAACCATCTCATCTACAAACATATGGTTAATTTGGATTAATTTTTAAATGGTTTAACGCAAGTTTTGCAGTTGATGCATGGTGTTTCTGGTGGGTTTAGTGGTACCTTGTTAGTGAATAATTGCCATTTGTGGTAAATAAGTATTAAACGAATAGAAGCTGCAAGTAATTATTGGCTTCCTCGAGCGGTGCTGATTAATTACCTAAATGTTAAGTAAAAGTTACGGAAAAAATGGTCTGTTTGATGAGTAAACTAGTTTTTAGCAACACCAGAAAATTACCGTTAAAAAGAAGAAATTATTACAGTAAAATAAAGGTATATCTACCTATTTTAAGATATGAAATTATCGCACAGGTATTTAAAAAACCGGCTAAGTAAAGTGGCTAAGTAAAACAAATGTTAATAGTTGCCTTGTAGTGGAACGTTTTTAGAGGAAATTGTCCAATTTGAGAACAGACTAGTTCGTTCATTCACGAAGCATATACATCGTGCAAAAATCCACATTTGCCAAACTTAACTGTACTTCCAAGATAACTATTCGAAAAACTGTGATCAATATTTATATTCACTGTTAATGTTTTTAAACTTATCATTCTGCGTTTTCCATCGCAAGAAATATAGTTTCCTAGCACCCCCTTTCGGGTTTATTATATATTTTGTTTAATAATATATTGATTAAGATATAAATAATATATGTTATCTTTAAGAGGTGATAACCGGTAAACAAAATTTAAACACACCATTTCAATTTGTTACTGAACGGTTCAATTTTATTGACCTAGTCATATTGATCATCAGATACGGAGATGAGAAAATTGGACTTTAGGTCAATTCCTTTCGCTGCTATTTACTTAATACCAGATTAGATTATTGATTTGCTACAAAACGTCTGTATAGATACTATGTGTGATCTTTGCTACCAGTTTTATTAACTGAGCCAAAGGTGTTACAATTAACTTACGTATCTCAGGCAAGTACAGGTGAAATTGGATTTAATTTCAAAATTTTTATTAACCATCAAAATTTTATTTTTTGTTCTACAGTGTGTCTAAATTTTACCATTTTATTGGTTTTATTATTAAACTTTGTATCAAACAACATAAAATCTAAACAATCTAAGTCCACTATTGTTATATAAAATGTTCCATAACTTTTCAAATTTGAGCAAATATTTATTTGGCTTATTTTATGTAACAGTTAGCAGAGTTTCATGTTGCTAAATTAAGCTTCCACAGCAGACGTTGATTTAAGGGAAAAATCGATTCACAATACTCAAAGCTGACTGGCTGCCCTAAAGAACACAGAATCAGCCCTTCTGGCTTCATGCTAACCTTAGTTTTAGAAGCTAACGCTTTTTCGTTTAGAATAATTTAAGAGAAAAGTAGTCTTGAATATAAAAGCTAAATTTATGAATGAAGAGCTATTCAAAACTGCAACTATTCATTAAAGGTACGGTGCATGTAAAACTATTTTCGGAAAACTAAACTCAGATAAGATTAGATAAAATTTCCAGAGAGGATCTTAGAATGTCGAAATGCTTGAAAAATGATTTTAAAAAATGGAAAGTCAACGATAATTAAATTTGTAARTAATCKTGATTGATTTGTGCAACAAAATACAATTTGCTTTTTAATAACTAATTTTCCCTAATTTAATAGACATGTTTGGTATCCTCTAATTCATATAGAATAAATATATATCACCGGAGTAATTGCAAGTTGATCAAAACCAAGCTGTGTATTGTTGTTGTCCTTGTATTGTYCTCGCAAAATTTAGTTGCAGCAATAATTKTTAACAAGATTTTATATCATTATACTTACATACGAAATGGTATTATTTTATTAATTGCAAAATATTTGCATCGCYTTTGATTTATTTATTTATTTGGTTTGTATCAAAATACAATTTAAGATAAAAATATAGCATACATTTTGAGAAGTTWKAATGAAAAGTAAGTATGAATAWGCAGAATCACAAGTTTGAGTTTAATCTRACTGAAGATAKTTTGAGAAAAAWTTGATCTTGTGGGAATGTRGGAAACTARGTTTTTAGAAATATTKTTTTACCATTGCAGGTTAAAAAAGTATCAAGCCAATTAAAATGGAGATAGCAGGGATTCGCTTCGCACCTCTAAAAATTCCCATGGACCGGCGATTGCAAACTTTTGCAGCTGGAACTGGATTTGTTTGGCTGATCTTTGGAGGTTTAATCAGTCTACTTTTCTCGGTGTATCTTCTCCTTTTCACCAGATATTGGCACGTTACTCTTTTATATCTGTTGTGGTTTGTGTTCTGGGACAAAGATACTAGCCAGCAAGGTGGAAGGCCTTGGCATTGGGTAAGAAGTTGGAGGTAAGTTGCCGAAACAATTAATAAAAAGGTATCGCTTYTTGTTTGACGCTTAAGCAAMAGATTATTTATTAGATATRAACGCATATTACCAATTAGTAAAATAGTTTAATGGTCTTGCAWTATTTCAAACAGGGTTCTATTCAAATTTCACTTCAAAGCAAAAAATCGTTWTGAAAGCAACTAGTTGTAATTCTATTATARMTTTCTAAGACTTTGTGTGTGTGTGTGTGTGTGTGAAAAAATTTAACAATTTGTGTCTGCTGAYTTCTACCTATAATTATAAAACCTTGAACCTTGCCATACAGTACAACTGGATCAAACACAGGAAGGTTACATATCTCATTACTGTACGATTATCTAYATAATTTTGTTTATTCATAGTGTTGCAGCAACTGAAATTTTGTTTGCAAGTATGGAACGTACACACTGAATCATAAATTTATTTATATTTTTGTTTTATAATGATTAGCACAATTTAAAAAAATACATATTGCCTGTAAAGGGACATTTTTAAACAGATAGGATACCAACATATTTGTATGTTTATAATATTATAGATATTTCTGGTTAAGATAGTTTCGTCAAATTTTGTATCTCTAAATATTAAAAGCAATTTGCCGTAAAAGCCAGGAATTCACAAAACGTTCAAATTTAATTTAAAGAAAGGGCAGTGTCCCAAATAACTTTTCGATAYTGAAAATGTATACAGGGGTTTAATTTAGTTTCTTTGTGAAGTTTTAGATTAAATTTATCGAGAGAAATAACCAACTAGTTGATATACCCTTTTTARTATGGCGACAATAAAAATTTTGCAGATCACCTTCCCGTTAAATAATCATTTTTAACTTCAAATGTAATATTTTTTATTTTATTGCAATTATTTAGTAGGTATTACGAAAGCTTGCTTGAAAACATTGCAAACTTTGAGGATAGCAATTCTATAATTGCAGCATTTTTGGAAAGTTGAATGCGACAGATAGTTTGAATTCGTGGCTGAACAGTGGAAATAATCACTTCATATTGCCGTCTCTGATGGTAGAAATTTTATAAACTTTTCACATGTTTATCAAGTTGATGTTTGAGATCTTCTTCTTCAGAAATGTTCTCATTTTTCTTCTAAGCACGCGTTTGTGTCCCTCCAGTGCTCTTAAAAGTTTTCCATTTTTTATAGTAAAACTGTCCAGCTCTAGTTTTTTCTTATTTAATCTCATTAAACCACGCGTTTTTCGGCCTTCTCTTCCTCCCTAGGACTTGTATCACTGTATTCTCTGCTGCTTTAATTTTGTTCTAGCAGGCAGCCATATCGGGATTGTCGAATTCCTGCAGTTCTTGAACCGTTAATTTAAAATATATTTCATTCGACAACATATTGCTATGCGTCCACGATCCACGGTGACGTGATTAACACTTTCTTTTTTAACGCTTACTAATTTAACGAATAAAGGCAAGAAATAACAACCGCGATCATCATAACTACATACGCAGGAAGATTAAAAAACCCTGCGTGAAAATCAGCAAAGTATTAATCTTTGACCCTTTTCTCAGCTTCCTTAATTGGTATAAAGGTTATACGAGTACTACTGTTTATTACTGTTAATTTTACAATTCAATACGATTAATTTTTTATTTTTTGATCTTAAGAGTCAATTACATTATTAACATTCTATATTATGTTCCTAGATAAAAAAAATAAAATTTGTACAAAATAGAGTGTTTTTTTTAAGGTGGTGGAAATACATGAAAGAATATTTTCCAGTCACTCTTGAAAGATTACCATGGGTGGATTTGGATCCCGGGAAGAACTACTTGTTCTGCTGCTTTCCTCATGGAATGCTATCTTTAGGGGTATTCTGTAGTTTCGGTAAGTTTTCCATTTAAAGCGTTGAAAGTTGTAACTTCCCACTTTAAGATTATCCCATTCATTGAAATATATTGCGCCAGTTAGATATATTGATGGGTTTATTTTCGTTTGACTGCTAGAATCGTGTAATGAAGAATGAAATTAGATGCTTTTTTGCAGCTACAGACTATGGAGATTTCAAAACATACTTTCCTCATCACACACCCCACGTGGTTACACTATCTCAGCACTACATCATGCCCTTTTTTAGGGAGATGGGTTTAGCATTAGGTGGAATTTCTGCCGAAGCGAATGCCATCAATTACATTCTGAAATACCCGGAAGGAGGACACGTTTGTGTTTTGATGCCTGGAGGTGCACAGGAGAGCTACTATTGCAAACCTGGACAATACAAAATTATCCTACACAAGGTGATAACTTGGAGGCTTTACTGTGTTACAGTACTGGATTCTAGTTTTTGTAGAGGAAAGGCTTTATCAAGTTAGCCCTTAAGAATGGAACTGCATTGGTTCCAGTTCTATCGTTTGGTGAAACTGATACTTTTGATCAAGTTGAAGGGAATACATTGAGAAAAATTCAGGAAAATATCCGGAAATGGATCGGCCTTGCCCCGGTGGTTCCAGTTGGCCGAGGATTTTTCCAGTACACATTTGGTTTGGTGCCTAGAAGAAAGCCGATTCGGGTTGTTGGTAATTATACTAAATGGACTAAACGAAAAAGCCATCATTGTAACCCATGATTTTACAGTTGGTCAACCAATGGAAGTTCCAAAACTCGAAAATCCCACTCCAGACGAAATTGAGGAATACCATACCAAATTCGTAGAACATTTGCAGCGCATGTTTGAGGAACAGAAATATAACTATTTGCAAAATGCCGAAGACACAAAGTTGGTGATTGCATGAACTTGCGGTTCATTTGGCTCAGTAATCATATCATGATGCGAAATAGTACAAAAAATGTCGTACCTAAAGTAATAGAATTATTGGAAGTTCTGTTGTGTGCTGATATTGTTAGCATGATGTAGGAAGTTTTAAAATATGTACAAGTCGAATAATTATTAAGATATTTAAACCTTTATTTGGATGTTTTATTTATATTGGCAATAACTTTTGTTATAATGAAGAACATTTTTATTTAATGTGTGTGCAAGCAGTTATAAGCCAAAACCGTGAAAATTGATGCTAATTTTCAAGACAGTTCAGGGAGCCAGAAGCAAAAAAACTTAATTACACGTTCTATAAAAAATGAGCTAATATTCATTGTTGGAAAATTGGAAAGAAGATATTCATTCTATGGTCATATATTGACATATTTTCTCATGTTTAAACTGTATTGCTGATTATTTCTAAACTATTACAAACACGTTTAAACTATTTTACTGCTGACTCCCTGAAATTTAAATTAAAAAAAGAAAACTCTTTTATTAAATATTTAGTGTCCCATATCAGAAAAGTGCTACTTCTGAAATACCTACTGTTTGTAAGCGTTACTCAAGTTCAAAACCCAAAAAAGTCCATAGTTTACCAGTAAAAATATATAGTGTTTGTTTTTCAACTTTCACGGCAGATTCAGGTAATTTGAACATCATAGATTAGTTAAATTAAAAATAATGGACCCGCAATCTGTTTTTGTTTTGTCATTTAAGAAATTCTAATTGCTTACAGTTGACGATGTTTCTGTTATATTCGTATTAGAATTACGCGTAAATACAGGTGCCTTTATTGCATCATAATAAGTATTTTCCAGTTTAGTATTTTAATAAATGTTAAAAGTTTTGCTTTGTAGTTGGTTTTATTTCACCTCTGATGATTTAGACAGTTTTTTTGCAGCAATTGCAGATACAACCCAACACTTTAGTCGCTTTTAGCTCCTGATATTTCAACAAATTTATAACATTTTCACAAAAGTTAGTCTTTGGCAAATAGCGTTATCTTTAAATCAACCCAAACGAGACGATTGTTTTAGCCAATTTACTCATTAAATATGTACAGATTGAATTTTGGAAAGTTTTCTCAGTAGCATCACTAAGATTTATCATTTACGCCTTGTTATCAACTGAAAAACATGTCTGTGAAAATGTTGAAGTTTTGCTTAGCAATTACTGCAACAGTAAGTTTACAAACATAATTTTAAATAGCTTGAAAATTTCTCATTTTGGTTTTCAGCTTTTGATTAATGTTAGCGAAACTTCCGTGGTAGAAAACCAACTGCCTGATCAGTTCAACAACAATAATTTGTTGCCAGAAACTCTAACGGATATTTTAATAAAGAAGAATTTGGTGGAAGCTACAGTAAAACCCGAAAATATTGCAGTGGCTACCAAGAATGTTCTTACAGCATTTGAAGGAATATTTACAGAACTGATAATTCCCGTTCTTAATTTCATTGAAGGCGTCTGGATCGCAAACCTTGTGTCTCTTTTTGCTACCCTCAATGGCACAACCTACCTATGGGCGTATCCAAATATTTATTTTCCAATTCTAGCAATCTATGTGGTTTTATTAATTATTAGCGGCGTTTTGTACTTAATTTCCAATGCATTTTCAGACGATCCGGACAGTTTTGGGGAAATTTTGAGTACCTTCTGGAACAATTATATTCTTGCGTTTGTATGGTCGTTTTATCCATTTTAGTGAAAGATGAATAGAAATGTGTAGTTTGAAAATTCTTAAATAAATAGACTTACATACATTTTATATGGTGAAGGTCGTGACTTAATTTGCCAGCAAAAACTTTATCTTTTTGGCATGTTTGCTGTTACAACTTGATAAATATTAGCTTGTAATGTGTGCTAGGATGAATAGTTCTTCGAAATGTTTATAATAATTTGCAATTTAAGGCCAAAGACAGTATCTGCCATTGTCTGTTAAATAATAAGATAAATTATTTTTGCAGAATATTTGCATTTCCAGTTTCAACGCGAAAGTCTACGTGCCTGTGAATTCTACTCTAAAATGTCTAAGCAAATAATTTTGGTGTTTTCGGCAGTTATTGCAACAGTAAGTTTTCAATTCTTATAAAAGGAATCGGACCCTATGATAAGACGACTTGACTGATTTTAGGTCTTAATTAACAGCTGCGAATCATCCGTAGCTGAAATTACAGTGGAAGAAGCTTTGCCAAGGGAGCAACCCTTGTTGAAGGTACAATCATCCACAGTTGAAGATTTTCTTTGGAAAGCTGTTGAAAAAGTTAAAGAGAAGTCTTCCGCTTCGGGAGCTTTACCTGAAGCTAAGGCTCTAGGAGAAATTCAACGCAATCTGCTCGATATAGTATCTGATATAGGAGACTCGGCCAGTGATATAATTTCTTCAGTACTTGGCTCTAGTGTGGGACTGTTATTCTCGGGAGTTCAAAGCTTAATATCGACCATAGTTATAGCTATCATTGCTGTTCCATCACTTTTTATTGCATTATTGCTGATAAGTGTCTTTTTGGATGACTAAATATTTTAACCACATTATTAATAATTATTTACTGACGTATTCTTAGAAATTATTTCACTCAACTATTCAAGTAATAAATAATCCATGTATTTTTTTATAATAAATTAAGTTTTAAATGTTTATTCTGTGCAGTAGAATTAAATTAAAAATAAAAGTATTTTAAATTGCAATAAATAACTTGTTTCATTCCATTTATTGCTCAAAACGACCCACATTTTACATACCTATTATTTATGCAGAAGGATTGTATTTTTTACTTCGGGTTCCATGAAGACTGTGAGGAAATAAATTATTAAACGTAATAATTTACAACATAGTGGAAATCTTGAATACTTGATGCCACATTTTGTCAGTTTCTGAGAAAACGTGACACAATATTGAAAGTAAAAGATTGAAGCAACAAAATGGCTAAAGTTAATGCACTTTGAAATATCTGTATACAAGGTGGCTAATTTTACGTATAAATCTTACATCTTACTATGATGGCTTCTTTTGACAATGTCCATTCTTTATCTCCTCTAATTAAAAATTATTTGACATTGAGCCATTATAAGATGAAACACAGTAAAGTACATCATGCAATGATTTGTATTTGCATAGAAAGAGGATACAGAAAAAGAATTTCCCACTTATTCTGGATTCCCCATATATTTGCGCTTTAACGAGGGGGTAAGTGAACAAACAAAAATAAATAAAAATCACTAGATATAACATCCTGCAGGAATCATATATTCATAACAAATTACGATTGATCGATCATTTCAACTATTTATTCAATAACATTTATTCAAAAAGGCTATAGAGAAAGTTAAGGATAATGTTGGTAAAGCTAACAATATTTTCTTCATTTAGACTACTTAACGTTAAGCTAGTTATGTTTAAAACTGTTTGCCCTACCAAAATGACCGTTGGTAAAGGCACAAAATACTGTATAATGGGCAAATCTGCTAAATAGTCAAACAAAAGCAACAAAGGGGTTACAATACTTTGCGCTAAGGTAACAGCAGCAATTACAAATGGAATTAAAAAAGATGATAAGGATGTTAATGATTGTAAAATAGCATCTGTTATCGAACCTCTTGTGGCTAAAACTGCAGTTCTATCGATCGATGATGGATGAGACGAATTCTCTTCTGGAATATATGTTTTATTGACTAAGGCTTTGAGGAGAGGATGATCATTTACGGAACTGAAAACTTCTAGATTTGCTGGGCTGTTTTCAAACGTTGTAGTTCCACGGCACAATACCAAAGTCCCGGCCATCTAACAATTTCCTTTGAACTTCAAATATACCGCAAAATAAATTGAATGTCTTCAAAACTTACCAAGCAGAGTGTAAACCGAAATAGTTTACCCATTGTAGATTTTGCTTTAAATCGTAATTTAAAAATTGTAGCGATTGATGAAAAATACTGTTCTAAGCTTAAAGTAATATGTAAATCAAGCGCATCTTCCAAGATGTGATATCAAAAGATAAGAATGATTTCATTCGGCATTAATACTAAAGTCAATTTTGAAAACAATGGGATATTTTTCCTATTTGTACATAGCTAAATGATGTTAAATATAGTTAAAAACAAGTAGGTGTTAATAATGATAAATTTTGTAACAACTTTTGGTACATGGAAACGCCATATGTACTTTTATCAGTATTAATTTTTTTGGTGAAGAACGAGCTTTTCAACAAATTTCATGTACATAAAGTACTACAGATTAGTTCTAGTAGGTGTTAACTGATTATTTTCGATCTTAGAAAGCTTCACAATATGCACACGAAAGCTTTTCTGTTCATGATGAATAATGAAAAATTGTCACCGATCAAAAAACGCTAAAAAGAGGTCCCAAATGTTGATTTTTTCGTTCTGGAGCTTCTACAATGTTTTTGAAAGAGCTTATTACATTACTCACTTCTTTGCGATGAAAGTGATAGGAGCACCATTCCAAAAATGGGTAAAACACAAAAAACTACTTGCAAAGTAATAAAAGCAGATTTCATTCCATTTCAATTATTATCTTTTTTATGCGTTTTTTAAATTCCACTCAGTAATTGGAAAAAGAACTAGACAGCTAAGAATAGTACTACCATATGACTTTTGTTGTTGTGAGCTTCTTCAACGTCTTCTTTGTTCAAAATTGTGGAGCAAAATAAAAGATAATTGAAAGAAATTTTCAAAAGGTAATAATATTATTTCCTTCAATAATAAGCTATTTTCATCTGCATGCATATAAGTATTACCATATAAGTCTCTAAAATTCCAAAATATGCATCAGTAGGTGCGCAATACAAAACTTCAGTATAAAAAAAGCTTGAATATACCTAAATACTATCGTAATATCGTAAAATACAACGAGTTATTATATGCCGACAACAAATTAAAGTAATATAAATTTTCTCACAAAATTAAAATGTACTACAAATCTACTGTTTATCGAAAAGTTTATTTCGCTCTTTGGTGGTACTCGTCTATCGAGTTATCAGAGTATCAACCATGAAAACACCTTATTTTCATACACGAAATATTTTGTCCTTATTGTCGTCTTCCATCGTCTTCTCTTAACTGCTGAAAAATGTTTAACCGCTATACCCGGTGAGTATATTTTTATTTTCATATATTAATGTTCACTTGATTGCCTTTTATACCTAATTACCGAAGTTCTTTCCCTTATAATGTTGAATTTCCACAATAAATTTTTTTTTAACAAGCAACAGTTGTTCAAATGCATTTTTGGCATTTTATATGAATACTTTTGTAGCCTTGAACGAAGTTAGTGGAATTTGGTTGAATCCGTTTGCAGCTATTCTGTTGATTAATGGAGAAAACTTCATGTATTCAACGCTAACTAAATGAATGATTTTCTAAATTAATGGTTTATTAAAAACATTCCATACTGTCCATGTCCATGGTGTTGCTTACGAACGCTGTATTTGCTGAAAAAGCAACTAAACTCAAAAATGAAATGATTATATTAAAATAAATAACTGTAAAGCTCAAAGTTCCGAGTCGATGTATATAACGAGTTAAATACGATAATATAAGTTAAAATTAAAAATCCCATCAGAATGAATAATACAAACGTCTCAATTTTCATTTTAGGTTTTCTTATCTGCGAAACATAATTAGTGCAGAATATGGTTCTCCAATTCGTAGATATGTGACATTATTACCCATGCATGGGGCTTCGCGCTCTTATTTGCGTAGCCATCAACTACATCTATTACTCGATGCTTACTACAGAAGTTCAGTTCATATTCTACAAGAAACCGTGGAACTCATGTCGCCTCCTAATGACGTTCCCTATAAATGCCGGATTGCAGTATGCCTAAAGACAAATTCTGATAGAGAAGAGGAATTACAGTTATTTGTGAAATTACTAACGGACGATCCAGACGACTTAATAAAGATAGCGAATGCCTATATGAGAGTAGATCAAATGATTAAAATGAAAAAAGAAATTCAAATATATACTGTTGTTATTGCGGCTATCGAAAAATTTCAAAACCAAATGAAAATTAAGAAAGAATTTCGTTATAAAAATGTGTTTGCTAATTTTATTGGAGCAAGACTTAGTTTTGAAACAACTACTGCAAATCTACCCGATCAATTTAGCGCAATATTGCTGGACACTCCAGAATTCCGATATTATAAGACTAAATCGAATGGAACTGTATTTACGGGCTTTGACTTTTTTCATGCCAAAATGATCATACGAGACATGGCTCGTTTTCATGCTTGCCCCATTGCGATGAAGATAAAAAATGAAAAAAAATTTAGGAAAAAAGTTATGTCTTTTTTAAATCTGGAGGTGAAAGACTTTGAAAAATTGCCGCCTTCTCAATCGCTGTGCCACGAGCTACTTACTGATGGACTAAAACATAAGCCAGAAGTACTTCATCAGATGCCATTTCTCAGAGAATCTCTTCAGCTTTCGAGATTATCTGAATGGATTCAAGAAGATCACGAAGATAAGACTTGGCACACCTTATGCCATTCCAGATACTGCATTCCCAATATAATAACCAGTTATCCTAGCCGAGAGTTACCGCGGAGAAGCAAACTGCTCGAATTGGGTAAGCTCAGTTTCAATAACTGCTGTCTAGATTTGGCATTTTTCCTGTTTACAAGCTTACGAACTGATATCCTGGAAATAAACTCCCGGAATCTGTTAGAAGAATATTATACCGTTTTTGCTACTACTTTAGGAGAGCATAAAGTACCTCTCGAAAAGTACTCCTACGGAAAATTTATAACTGAATTTCTCGACATAGGAAAGAGATCAATAGCTGAAATTTTGATCAGTGTAAAAGCAAGTTCTTGCGAAGGCTATGACGAGACCGGACAACCAATCTTAGGCGAAAACTATCGCAGAAGAGTAAAAGTAGCCGTAAGGCTTGCTGCAGGATTAATGTAATCCAATAACATGTTTTTGCAATTGCTTTCTAATCTTACGTTATTTTAAATGTATTTCTCGTAATCCGTTAAAAAAACACTCATTGAACTATTGGTTTGAAACAGATAAAAATCCGTTCATATTAAAGCCTCACAACAAATACCTTTAATCTCTGGTAATTGTTGAAATTCAAATTACTGTAGAATTAAGCACTATGTGTATGTATTTTAAAGTGTATTGTAATTTTCTATAAGCAAAACATATTTAAGACAAGAATGGGTATTTTTTATACAGTTTATTCTGTATTAACTAAAAAATCAGTTTTTATTCATGTAGTTTCAGAACGGTTTCTATTACAACTCTCAATTATTTTGACGTCAACGGATTGTAAAACGCAAAATAAATGCTATTTATTTTTGCATTTTATGTGTCTAATTCTTTAATATCTGCATTAAAATGGAAAAGCAATATGTAGCAGGCATTACATATAGACCATATTTCATTTTTTATTTCGTTTGAAAATAGTGAAGTTAAGCCACTTAAAACTCTAAAATAATACATGAATAAAATTTGATAAAAATTATGTTGCTGTAAAAGTAATAGAATATTTACAATGATTGTACTCATTTGTAATAATGAATCTAATAATAAGAAAATTATCATTTTACGCTATGTTACGCATGAATGTAGTAAGATAGAATAAGAATAATTTAGAAATTTATTATTCGCGTACTTCATTTAGCGCTGTTAACGGTATATACCTATTTTATCGGTTGTAAAGCATTATTTTAAGCCACTCCAGACTTTTAGAAAATAGTATAGACTGCGACGGATTTATACCTTTTAGTAAAATGCATAATGTGTAATTAATTTTTGAAATGTAAATCTAATAAACACTTTATAATAGCATTTTACTATTATTTCAATCTTACAGAAACTGTAATATTATTTAAGTATATTATTACTGTATATACTCTTAGACTTAGACTCAAAAGAAGACTCAACAAACAAGACAAAAGGAAAAAAGACTCAAGACTTTTTAGACACAGAAATTATATTTACTATGACGTGCTTTTGCATATTCGTTCACAATAGTTAAGAAAAACATATTATCTTTACTAGGAAATCATTTTGCCTAGTAATTGGAATTCGATCTACAGAGAAATGTAGTTATGTCGTGTTTGAGCCCTAGAAATAATGTTTTCAGTTGTTACCCCATGGAAAACCCAAGGTTTGGTTTTTTTATATTTTTGATTTGGTTTAGTTTGACGAGCCTACAGAAAGTAGAATGAAAGAGGCTTATTTACAACGCATGAGTTATTTAAAAACATATTGATAGCTTGACAAAATTGTTCCTATGAAAGGATTATATCCTTTCCATTATGAAAAGGCACATGATTCAAGGCCAGAGATTTTCCACTTTGTTTGCAAACATTGGGTTCTAACACATCAGAATGATCTGAGAAACATTTTATGGTCGGATAAGGCAATGTTTCCACGAAGCCTATCATTTAATAGTCAAAAGAGCTGTTCGATCGGCAAACTTTCAACATAGCTTATCTTTTACTGCGCTGTTTTTTACATTCCGTAAGGCGTTACTTATTAGGTTCATGGCCTGGGTTCTTACCTCTGGTTCATTGATCTTTTTCTATTATAAGCAGCTGTGCTTTGTTTTGCTTTCAATTTCTTTTATTGTACCCTAAGTTCTGCTACCAATAAATTGTGATCAGAGTCAGAGTTTTGACCATCCTTCAGCTTTTTCTATATCTTTGATAAACCATTATGTAGTCGATTTTGTTTTGTATGATAGTACCATCTTTTCCATCTTTTGGGGCTTTATAGGTATATAAGCTGTGCGGAGGCATCTCGAAAAATTTGTTCATTATTCAGTTTGTCACCACATTCATTTCTTTGCAATTACTTACTTGAATAATTGCTATAGTAAATTAATCCGCTTAATAACGTGATATCCCCTTAATAACTTTGTCATTATTTAAGAGTTTATAAGAAAACACGATTGAAATACAGACCCAGAAAAATCTAAGTGCTCTTTCTATATTACCACCTTCAAATGATATACCGATGATAAAAAAATTATTTTTGTTGTTCATTTTTATGTTTTAAAACAGTTTTAATTTTAGATCAAAATTCAACATATGAAATGCATTGAACTGGGTCAAAAAGACATATTTGGGTTAAAGCGTTTAGGAATAATTTCGAAAGGACATCCCTCATGGGTTCCACTTCCAAATGTTAATTTCCAACATTAACATATTTTTTTGAAAGCACAATTTACAGTGGCCACCTAGTTTCGGGACAGCCTGTATATGAATAATATATGACGATGGAAATTTATTTTCTTTATAACGTCCAGTTTCAAGGCTTCTCAAGTGGTTTGTGATACTTATCTATGGAAATATTTACCATCAAACATGTTTATCATAAAAACTATTATTTTTTACATCAAATATGTCCCGCCCATGATGGCCATTTTCGGCTAGAAGTCGTTTTCTTATTATTGCCGTTAAAACTTTTCGCTTATTGACAGCCAACTAAAAAATGTTGCGCCGACTTGGAGAGTAAGTAAATTCCAAAATATTATAATCTACTTTGTTTAGTTTGTCTAATCCTCTTGATTCCGTTTTCATTTTCGACCACACCGCTAGTGGCATATATGTACTTAAAATATGTGGTCAATGAAGTAAAACATTAAAATGTATAAGCAGTAAGGTGGGGTGGATATATCTTCTGTAAACTATGTAGAAGAAGATATAATGTTGCAATAATTTAACAATTTTATTAATCCAAGTTTTAAGATGTGTTCCACTCAGCCTAGGATAATATGCTTCCAATTTATTTATTTTGTACAATTTACTGACAATCTAAATAAAATATTAATAGTTATGAAGTAGATAACAGTTTTTCTCGAATAGCTGTTTTCTGCAAAACGTCCAATATACGTCCAAGCATACCTACCTTTGGAAACATCAAAAAAAAGTTTACACGTAATTAACAGATAAAAACATCCATGCAGCACCTTTCTTTCTACTCATATGTGTAAGATATATTTTACTTTTTGCCCAGTTTCCTCTGTCTTGTGCTGTTTCCTTTGCTTCTGCCCAGTTTATGTTTCGCTTTTCTAAACATTTCGATATAACATTATTCCAACTTTTCTTTAGCCTGCCTCTAGTTTTCCTCTGTACAGGTTTTGTCCTTATTTGTATGTCCACTTTCAGTCTTACAAAATGTTCAAACCACAGTAGCTTTTGCATCTCTGCGCTTTGACAAACTGGTTCCACTTCTAAATCTTGTCTATTCTCTCGTTACTCAATTTTGCTTTTTTTGTCACTCTTCTGATTCTTCTAAATACCTTCAATTCCTCAGTGTGTTGTTTTAACATTTCTAAAAAAGCGCGATTCCGTAAATATTTTTTTGAAAATGCGATTTTTCTAACACGAAAATTCTTAATACAGTATGGTTCAAAAATAAGTAACGATCATCAGCTTAATATTTTCAAATAGAAACATCTGATTTCTCAGTGATTGAGTTAACCAGTGAACCTTAGATTATAATACATGTTCTCTACTGAAACCAGAAGCAGAAAGTAAATTTGTCGAGTCCTATTGAATCTCTTATTTAGAAATCAAAATTAAAAAAAAATGCATCCATTTGAAAAAATGAAATTAATGGACTTAATTTATTTTTGTATGACCCTGTGTAAAGAAGTTTACCTTTAACCAAACCGCAAAATAAAAATTTACGGGAATTTGAGATGTTTTCCATAAAAAACACCGCTAAATGTTAAATGAATTTAAACACTTCTTCTGGGACTCACTGTATTGAAGCGCGCTTGCAACTTCTTAATACTGATGCAAACAGATAAAATTGATTTGAAAATGCAAATAACAAAACAAAATAAGTCAGTTAACGTTTTATTACTCTGTCAAACCGTGTATAATAAATAACACTACAATTGGTAGATATTAAAAAATGTATGGGAATATATAAAATATAATTTTTATTTTAGTTTAATATCATCGAGAGATGATAGGCCAACGGGCAGAACATCACTGCATAGAGAGCCTTCAGATTGGACCGTAGCGGAGAAGTCGGAATCCTATATGCGTAAAATGCATCTGGAGCATCTACTTGATGAGTACTACAAGGGTCATGTTGAAATTCAAAAAGAAGCTCGAGAGCATCTATCGCGTTATAATGCCATTCCCGAAAAGATTCTCATTGACCTGTCGCTGAAGACAATCACAGGTGAAGAGAAAAATGTATACTTATTTGTGAAACTGCTCATGGAAGAGCGAGACGACTTAGAAAAGAGAGCAGCTGCTTATTTAAGATTAGATGTACTGACGAAAATGAAGAAAGAAATGCAAATGTACAATGTTGTTATAGCGACGATAGAAAAATTTCAAAAATATCATAATATTAGCGAAAAATTTATTTTTGGAAATATGTTTGCAACGTGTATTGGACTCAGAATGACGATGCCGCCGCCGCCGACGACTCCTCCACATCTACCAGACTGTTTCAGTGCTATAATTCTTGACCGCACGGGATTCCGAAACCCTGCGCCCCTAGCTAATGGACAGAGAGGCTATGATCGTGTTACTACCACAATGATTCTACGACAAATGGCTCGTTTTCACGCGTGTCCAATAGCTATGCGCTTAAAAAAAGGAATTACATTTCGAAGAACTATTCTTCCAATTCTATATTTGAATGTGAAGGACTATCAGCCAGTGCCATCAGATGAAGAACTATTGCAAGAACTAATAAGCGATAGACTTAAAAATAAGAATTTGCGACGTCCTCATTTAGAAAACATAAAAAATTCGCAACAGCTTTCTAGATTATTTGATTGGATCTACCATGATGGGATAGATGAAACTTGGTATACCATTTGCCATACCAAATACGGTATTCCTAATATATTGATAACCAGAGGTGATAGAGAAGCACCTGGGTCAAGCAGACTGCTCGAAATGTGGAAATTCACTTACAATAGCTGCTGTACAGATTTGGCATATTTCATCTATACAAGCGTAAACACTGATACCTTAGGAAAGTACCTGGAAGAAATGCTGCAAGAATATTTTAATGAATTTAAGATGACTTTAGATAAGCATCAAATATCTTCCAAATTTTCAAGTACTTATTCCTACAAACGCTTTAAATTAGAATTTAAAGCGGTAGAAAAAAGAATATTCACTAAAATTGTGGACGCCATAAACGATTGTTTCAAGAAAGAACGTTCGTACAAAGGTTATAAACCGGGTAATGAACAAATTTTAGAGCAGGATTATAATGACAGAATAACATATGTACTCACAGCATATTCTCGTTAGAAAGCATTACAACTTGCGTTTCCCAACATTCTTCGCAATCTCTTGATCTAGAAAATTATTATGCCATTATTCAATCATTTAGCTATTTTGTAGGTATTTTTTTTATTCATTAAAAAACGCAGTTTTCATTCAAAAATGAGAAACGGTTTTGGAAAGATTATCAAATTTAGTACTACAATACTAATACACTTCAATACGTGATTCAATAAATCCACTGTAAACTGAGCGCGTTTCTATGTGTACGTATAATTATATCAAAGAGTAATTTTTATAAACAAAATCAACATTTTTGAGACGTGAATACGCATACTTTATACTATACTTGTGTATAAAGAAAATATCTTATTAATTAGCATATAAAGTTGATGCTTTATCCTTGTAATTATGTTTTTTGTTATATTGCCTTCATTACTGCTTCGAATAATTTTCTCGTCACCAGATTGTCAAATGCAAAATAAATTTTATTTTATTTTTTCATTTTATGTATCTAGTAACTTATTTCGCAAATTGAAATAAAACATATTACTTTGTACATATTATAGGTAGTTTAAATTGTTCACCACATTTAAAAAGTTAAAAAGCCACTTAAAAGTTGAATACTCGAATTACCAAAAAGTAATACGTGTATTAAATTTTACGGTAGTGAGGTTGCTGTAAAAATAATACAATGCTTCTAATACTTGTATTATTTGTTCTATTTCTTTTGTGTATGTATCGCTTTCATGTTTGATTTTTTCCAAGTTATTGGAATTAATATTTCATGTTATATAAATCATAAGTTAGTATAATGTAGTAAAATGAAATAAGAAGAACTATCAACATAAGTCTTTTATCGGTTGCAAAGCTCTAAGAGCCTCAGATATAGAAAATATTATCAAGTGCAATGAATTTGACATGAAACGTGACCTTATAGTTTCTTATTAATTTAATTCTAATATACATTTTATATCGGCAATGCACTATTATTTAAATCCTGAGGCAAAAATTCCCTAGCATGTAAATTCCAGCTACTTTTAAAGTACTTCAATGACCATAATGTCTCTATTTCTCTTTGTAGGAGAAAGGGTATATTAAAATGGTATTTTAATTGTAAAAATATCCCTTATTTCTATTTGGAAGTGTAAATTGAAGGCGGCTTTCTTTACTTTCTTAAAAAACTTGAACAGCAAAAATAATTTCAACAAAACGGCTCCACAGTGATATCCACTAATTGATTTAGACATTTTTGGCCTGTTGTTTTTTTCACATATTACTTTGTTCCTGAGATATTTATTGAAATTCAGGACAACACAGTCACACAGTCACGTAAATTTCATTGAACGTTACAGCAAGCAATGGAAACCCAATGATTTGAACAAACGATGAAAGAATTATAAAAAATAATGTAATCACAACTACAAACTTAGCTACACAGTTACTATAAACTTTCACCAACTAATACAAAAATTATAATAATTGCTCAAAGCGCATTTCTTAATAAATATTAGGAACTGTTATTTGAACGGGATTATTTTTAATTTTATGAATCATCTAATCAAGGGTATTTACTGGCGTGTCATAAACAATTGATATTAGATCTGCCTAAGCAAAATCATCTAAGGGAGTCAAAAAAGTTTCTAAATGAATTAGTGACTAGCCCTGAGTAGCTGATGCATCTAAATTTAAACATTTTCAGGAGGTTATTCTCCTTTTCCAACAGATGACAAACAGATTTAGCATTGAATTCACAAAGGATACTTAATGCAAATAAGCCGGTAATCTTGTAGCTTTTCACGCTAGTTTGTGATACTTGCCTATAGACTTGTTTCTGACCATAAAAACTGTTCCTTTTTATGCCTCAGATTGTTGTATTGGTCGTTTTCGACTAGAAATCGTGTTAGTATTGCCTATAGGAAGTGCCTTATTTCAACTCCTGAAAAATGTTCCGCCTCATTGGAAGGTAACTACATCTCATTATTATGTATCTAAATTCTATGATTGCTTTTTAAGTTCACTAATGAAAATTTGGTGTTTTGATATATTTTTAAACCAACTAAATTTTACAAATATAAAAAATACTTCCTATTTGCATTCTCATTGCAAATTTGTAACTTTGTAAATTGTCTATCTAATGACGTATTAATATACAGGTACTTCCATTTGAGTTAAAATTATTGCGCTAAAAATTCTTAAATTTAAGTCCACATTGTTAACACCCTGTACCATATTGTACATTGTATCGTTATTTTGGTTCTATAGAATTCTTAACGGATCTGTGGTGATTAGAAAGACGTATTTTGTTATATGTTTTTACTGCTTTTTTTTGCTTCTACAATTAATTTTTAGATACCATGTTTATTCAAAGTTTTACTAAAATGGCGATAATCTGTCAACATCGCAAGTAAGAAAAAACAATTTACGGTGCCTATGCAACGTTTCAAGCTGCATTCCATGAGCTAATGAAAAATGGGAAGTTCTATTTAAAAAAATGCACTTTGATCTTGCCGCGCTTTGCTGAGACACTCTGTGTCATCTAAAATATTTTTTAAATGTGCGCACTTTGTGCGTCAACAACTTTTATATGAAACTATTTTTTTTATTATTTATATGAAACTCTCTCGCACCAAAAAGCACCCTGTATGTTGGTGTAGATCTTCAAAGAGCAAGACAACGCGAGAGCTATCAGTTTTAAGACAACAATTGTTATTTACAGAAACTCCACAGCAAGACAATTTGTAATTTCACAGTTTGGACCTTTTAGTACCGATGTACGAAAAGGTGACATCATTTAGAGAACATCAACTATTGTATTTTATTGCTTCATCGTTTAGAGCATTATTAAGATGCAGTTGTAGAAATTAAGAATGTTATCAGAATATACATCATCCAATACTTAAATTTTAGGTTTCTTTCTCAACCAGAGGATGTCAACTTGGCCAGTTCAAGACGTAGATATTCCTCGGTCATGACCATAGATGAAACCTCCAGGTCTTATATAAGCACCATGCGACTCCGGCAAGTACTCGATGACTACTACAAGGGTAGTGTCGATATAATCGAAGAAAATGTGGTACCCTTACGGTCTCCTACTAGCATCCCCTATAAGTGCCGCATTCAAGTTCTATTGAAGACCACCACAGGTAAACAAGAACAATTAGCCTTATATGTGAAAATGTTGATGGCGGATCAGGACGACCTACGACACAGAGCGCGTACTTATATGCGATTAGATGAAATGATGAATATGAAAAAAGAAATTAAAGTATATAATGTTGTTATACCAAAAATCGACAGCTTTCAAAAAGGATTGTTAATTGAGACAGAATATCGCTACCAGAATTTATTGGCAAAATGTTTTAAAGCCAGATTGACTTTTCATTCACTTCATGCACAACTACCCGATCAAAATAGTGTAATACTGCTTAAAGACCTAACATTCGACAACTATAAATCTGAATCGATTTTAAGAGGATTTAGAGGTTTTGAGTTGGATACTGCTCAAATCATTCTACGAAACATGGCTCGTTTTCATGCCTGTCCTATAGCAATGCGTCTAAAGGAAGAAGCACAATTTCGGAAACAAATTATTCCAACGTTAAACTTGGAGGTGAAGCAGTATAAGAAACTGCCCCCTATCGAAATGTTGTCTCGCGAATTAATCAGCTACGGGCTGAAGAATATCCCTGCGGCACATCGTCATTCAATACGCATTAGAGATTCTCTGCAGCTCTGTAGATTATATGATTGGATCCACGGGGACCAAGAAGATAACACGTGGTATACAATAAGCCATTCCCGATATTGGCTTAACAATATAATGACAAGCAGAGCGGATTCAGATGCACCTCAGCAAAGTAAACTGCTCGAAATGCATAGAGTCGGTTTCAAAAACTGTTGTACAGATTTAGCGTTTTTTCTGCTTACGAGCGTTCAACCTGACATCTTGGAAAAACGCTTTCTACACTTTCTAGAGGAATATTATGATGAATTTAGTCGGACTTTGAAAATGCATAAAGTAGCCCTCGATAAGTACACTTACTCACTATTTACTTCGGAATTTCACGCAGTGGGACAGAGAATCGCAACTGATATTTTGATTAACATCAAAACGGGTTCATGCGAAGGCTATGATGATGCAGGAAACCCCATTTTAGGTAACAGATATCGCAAAAGAATGCTAGCAGCTGTAAATCTTATGATACAACATGGTTGGATGCAGGAAGTTGTCTCTTTTCCAACTGCCTCTCAGCGCAGGCCTCTTCAAATGTCCCCCAGTACCTCTTAATTTAATTAGCTAATTACATTTTTTCCATCAATGTATTATGAAGTAGAAGGTTCCGTTAAAGCATGGTAATATCACATTAGTTTCAATGAATATTTGACTGGAAAGAAATAACACTTTTTTACTAAACTGTTTTTTAAGATCGCTTCAGATTTTACTAAAGTTTCTTATTTGCAATGCTAATAAAGTATGCATATCAAATGACTAAACAATAATCTCAATCGTCGATTGATCGTTTAGATCAATCAGGTCTTTTAATATTTATAAGTAACAGTGATGTTTCGTATTTACAATCAGGTTTGAGCTTTTTTCCGACTTTCAGTTTCTTAGTTATGATAAAACTCTATTTTTCTGATTAACTAGTTTAAGGTTTGCGGTAATTTTAATAAACAACAGGAAAATGTTTAAGACTAGAATGCGCATATTTTATACTATCACTTAGCTCCATTGAAGTGTCCAGTTATTATTATATTTATGTTATTATATAATGAACCACCGAAAGTCATATTTCACACGTGTATCTACGTGTTTTGGTACTATTGCTCTCTGTTAATATATTATACAAAGCAAAATAAGTTAAACTTATGTTTGCTTCTGTGTATATAGTTACTTATTTTGCAAATGCAAATGGAAACAACATGTGGACATTTCCTTTCAAATTAAGTTTTAAGAAGGCAAGTAAAAAACACCTAGATTCAATTTTAAGGAAGGTACTTATTACTTTCACTTACAATAATACATGTAATAGACATGATCAGAATGAGAGTTCTGCAAAAGTAATGCAAGTTTTGGTATTATTTTATAATTGTTACGACAATGCAGACATTTTTATACAAGTCAGGTAGGATTTAAGTCTAAGGCTTTCAATTATGTAAACTTTATTCTATGTTACTCATAAGTGAACATAATGTAGTAGAGTAGAATAAGAATGACACTGAAAACAAGTATCGTTTTTATGTGTATCTTTACGGTTTTTCATCGAATGTTTAACGTTTGCAACGCATTATTCTATAAATTTTATAATTTAATAAATAGCTTATACGCTGTGACACATTTACCATAGTCAAATAATTAATATTCAATTAAGTTCAATATTTTGAAGTTAATAAATGTTTAATAATGCTGATTCAATGTTATTTAATTTACATGCCATATCTTGCCCCTGTCTGTATTTTTACACTTGTCTGTGAGGTAAATGGTGTCCCAAAATTCACAGAAGATTTCCATTTATTGCCATTTTGCGCAGTAACTTTTTGGCAAATTCCAAAAGGTAGTTAGGATTAGCAGTTATTGGATATGATTAGTAAAATTGCACAGTGTTTCATAATAAATTCTGATGTTTTTATTAGTGAACAATGAACAATGGCTCAAAAATAATCACAGTTTAGCGGCCACAGTTCGAAAACTTTGCACAAAATTTGGTCGGAATTATGGTTGATCTTCGTCACCTATGAAGAGAAGAATTCATTACAACTCAATTTGAGTTGTAGACGATAAACACACTGGTCGTTGGTTAACAAAATGGGTATTTGTTGTTCAGAAAAATATTAGAAGAAAGTGGCACTTCACAAAGGAGGTCTTTTGTATTCTCATTTTCTCGCACCCAATTATCAAGTTTTATGAAAGAGTATACCAGGAAAGAAGACAATGAATGATTAATAAAATAACATGTTTTTTATGAAACTAATATAACATAAAACGAAATTAATTGATTTGCTCTTAAACGAAAATTAATTAACTTTTGTTTTTTAACTTTTCAGGAAATCTGATTATTTAGACCTTAAATTAGAAAGGTTTTTAAAGATCAACCGTTATCGAGAGAATAGCAAACTACCCTTTTGAAGTCAGAGTAATCGGTTTTGCAATCAGAGGACATGATGAAAAATTGAGAGAAAAAAACAAAACTCGACCGCGAGAAAAGAAACAACTGGACACTATGCAAAGTCAAAGCTTTAAAAGTTATTAAGCACGCATTAAAAGGCTAATCGATTAAATTGATAACGAAAAATACATGACAAATGTGTGTTGTCAAAACTTGAGAGAACATTTTTAAGAAGCCTTCTGAATTAAGTCTTAGTAAGCAAGATCATCAGAGGAGATCATAATCAGAAATAAGCGAAAAGTTGCTGTATCTAATATAATATTTCAACCGGGTTTTACACTATTATAAATCAATCTGAATATAAAAAAATTTCCCAGCTTGGACACCAATATTTACACACAACTGAGAATCAAAAATAATAAATTTAAACCTGAAAAAATATATCATGATTAAATATAAATTTACTAGCGTTATATCGAAATTCAAACACGTACATTAGTGTATAGAAAAGAAAAAGTATAAATTTCGGTATACATGTAGGTACACAAAAATCATTTTTCCACACCATGATACAAAATAAAATATAAAGGCATAATTTTAAGACTCCAAAAGCTCAGTGCTAAAAGTGCCAGAATTTAACACAATTTGCAACTTTTTTTCGTTACATACCAATAGACTTTTAATTTTGGCGGGCTGAATGTGTCTGGCTGAATGGCTGGATTTTAGATCATTCAGATATTATCGGTCACAAAATAATAATCTGAATATTCCAAAAAAATTGCTCATTGAGAAAGGAGACATCATGCAAATAATCAGAGATAAAATCTTTAAAGATTTTAGTGAGCCGTGGATGGTTAGTGTGGGATTAAAAGAAAAATAATTTGCAAAGTTTACTAAATATAGATGGTGGTAAATTTGATTTTATAGGTAGATGACACATAATATGCACATAGAGATTGTGCCAGCAAGGCCATGGAAGCCACTTCCCCGATTAGCCATTCCATAAATAACCTCATTTTAAGTAATTTATGATTTAATCGAAAACTAGCAATATTAGAAGAAAAAATGTATTTTAATATTTCATTCAAATCTTGCGTTAATTTTGCGACATCCCCTTACAAAAGCTAATTCAATAGTTTCCGACTGCACGTTTTCAATGTACCCAAATGACCCCAAAAATAACACAAAATTCACTTAGAGATACAGTTTTCTTGAACAATTAAAAAAACAGCGTACATTTTAAAGAATTTGCAGTCGATTTGCGATACTTCCCTATCAATTTATTGTCCATAAAAACTACTTATTTTGATAGATCGAATATGTTCCAGTAATTGTCGTTGTCGACGAAAAATCGTTTAATTTTTGCTTTTAAAAGGAGTCTTCTTGTAACTATGGAAAAAGCGATGCGCCAGGTTAGAAGGTAAGTGCGTTATCATATTACTCACATTACTATAAACAGCATGTGCTATTTGTAGATTCTGCTTTTTCTATGAATGATGTGAAAACCGTAAGACCGAAAAATGGTTTTCAGTTTTGCAAACGTATCTTACTTCTGTGGTCTAGCTAGATTATATTATATTGTTCCTAGTGCTTTTCATATATTAAATGCCTCATCCTTATTGAATGTAGCATTCAATATGTTGTTGTCAATCGTCTAATTTCTTCTTAATAATTGTGTGCATAGTACGTTGAAAGCCTATTTCAGTGAATTATTGTTTATACAGTTTAGTATTTTCATGTGTATTTTCTGTGTAGCTGTTCCATGTGTTTGTTTTCTGCGTTGCAGTTTTCAATTATTGGTCCAACATTTCTAGAACATCGTCGCCTTGCGAGTTGGGGGTATTTCCGTAGATATGTTGTCTTTAAATCATTCGACTTACGACGACGAACAATCTATTGTTTTTAATTTACTTTTGTTTTCTATAAATAACTGTTCTTTTGGGTCTTATATTAATCCCTTTTTCCTAACAGTTTTCTTGTTTTAAATTACTGACTCTTACTGTATGACTGTATTGCAGTTTTTCCAACTTCATCACTTTACGATTCGTTATTCATTTGCTTCTACTTTTGATTACTTGCATGACTTGCTTTGACTGAGTAATTTTTCAGTCATCTACTGTTTTTTTTATAATATATCAATTATAGCCCTTATATCTTATACTGAGAACACTTTATTGCTGCCCCATCAGCAAACTGAGGATATAATTCAGCTATAACCTACAGAAATTAATGAAAAATACATGGCTCATTTCTCATTGCAGAGTTGTCCATCGGCGACGTGATATTGACCATGACCGGTCACCACTTTACAGTTCTTCCTCGGAAAAAAGTAAAGACTTTTATATGAGCCAGATGGATCTGCGACAAGTTCTTGAACGGTGGGTGGGTGATCATGTAGAGTTTGAAGCAGAAGATTTGATTGCCCCCCCGGATCGTAATGTCGTACCCTATACATTTCAAATTAAGGTTACAATAAGTACATATCCACGTTTACTCGTTGATTACAATCTATTTGTGAAAATGTTACTGGAGGATCGGTACCACTTGGCAAAGAGAGAGCGTGCTTATATGAGGTTAGATATACTGACTAATCTCAAAAAAGAAATTCTAATATATAAAGTTGTTATACCAAAAATTAAAACATTTCAAAAACTAAATCTGATTATGAACGAATTTCGCGCTTCAAATTTGTTCTCAAAATGTATTGGAACCAGATTGAGTACCAAGCCAGTTCTTCCAGATCTACCCGATCACTCTAGTGCAATAGTGATGTTTAACCCATACGAAAAATATACATTTCAAACGTGTGAAACGGAAGGTAGCAGATATAACGGATTTACTTATGACATTGCCATACTGATTCTACGAGACATGGCTCATTTTCACGCAGGTACAATCGCCATGCGTCTTAAAGATAATATTAAATTTGTAAGAAAAATTATTCCGATTTTAAATTTGAAAGTGAAGGAGTTTGAGCAAACGCCTCCTTTTGAAATGCTTTGCAAAGACTTGATTAGCTATGGGCTAAGAGATCTCGAATTGCCAGATGATCAAATGGTGGCTCTTCAAGATTCCCTCCAGCTTTCTAGATTATATGATCGGTTTGTTAGAGAAGAAACAGATCATACTTGGTATGCATTAAGCTATTCCCGATATAGCATGTCCTATATAATGACAAACAATACATGTGCCAATGCAACTAAGCCAAGCAAATTGATCGACTTGCATCGAATAGGTTTTGATAATTGCTGTAAAGATTTGGTATCCTTTATATTCACAAGCGTAAGACCTGAGAGTTTCGATGAGCAACGGAGTTTTGAAAATTTGTTGCAAGTATATAACCGTGAATTTATACGTACTTTACAACGGCATAGAGTCCCCATCGCTAAATACACCTGGGACAATTTTAAAGCAGAATTTAACACTGTGGGGGAGAGAATGTTAGCTACTATTTTTATGAACATTAGGACTAGTTTTTGCAGAAACTATAAGGGCGATGGAGATCCAATCTTAAGTAACGAATATCGCAAAAGAATTAAAGCTACTGTAAAAATGATGACACTTTTTAAATGGATAAAGGCTTCTGACTTCAATTCTTCAGTAGCTTTCCCTGATAGGGATTTAATTGTGTTGATCTAACTACATTACGTATGCAAGTACGTTTCATAAAATGTGTTTTTTATTACTTTATCATACCATGTTATTTCAAATGTATCAAAAGAAGTACAATTCCTTTATTGAACCATTTTTCTGTATAAAAATGAGCAAACTGAGGTGCATAATCGTTTCTATTTGAACTAATTTCTGTTCAAATGAACGATTGTATGTAAGTGTGATTATCATAGAGTCAAAGTCAATATATGTTAAACTAGATTTAGCATACTTCTGTCTTATAGTGTATAATTAAGAAACATCTTTCATATTTATAACTTTGTTTTCGTTTTATTGCATTTTTACTACTTTTTCCATACACCCAATTTAGAAAGCAAAATGAATGTTATTTATTTTTGTCACTTTTTAATCGAAATGCAATAAATAAACAGCAAATATGCAAGACGTTTTTCATTGCTGAATTGCCAGATTTGAAACTAGTTACATGGAAAAAGCTCAACTAAATTTGAAAGAAAACCCATATAACTCAAGAACGACGGTATATGGAATATGATGCGACAATGCAAATTATAATCGGTAGTAGAAAGTAAGTCTTTTACATGTCAGGCGATTTTAATTATATAAAAAAGAATACTTTATCTGATGTTACTCATGAATGAACATATGTATTTTAGCAGCTGTTTTAAGACTTTAACCGAATATTTTTGTCGGTTACAATGTATTTTTCTCTTAAAAGTTTGGCAAATAATATTTACTGTGTCCAATTTATACTTTTAGTCATTCAAATAATATGTCATTTAATTAGTTCAATGTTTGAAAATAAATACATACATATAACAATGATTGGCTATTATTTCAACCCTAGTTACGTATTAAATATAATTCTGTATTTTCAGATATTAGTGTAAAATATACGAACCGACTTGAAACATGTAGCTTAAAAAATCTTCTTACGGAGATGGAGATTTCTTGAGAAATACATACTCAAAATTTGATGGAAGAGAGTGTCGCTTAACAAGATAGTTAGTAAAAAGAAAAAAAGTAGTTATACGCCAAAATTCTTGAAAAACTAAAAAATGAGTGAAGAAACAATAAATTGGCCTGTAACGACAATAGTGATTGGACTTTGTATTAAATTATATACTTGTTCATATGTTTTCAACTGCTAAATCCAGTGAAAAGCTTATTTTTTGTCTACGTAGTAACAAAGTTATTTGCAAAACCATCAAGAAACTTGCAAAATTAGAGGTAAAAGCAGATAATTTGCATGAAACCTTGAAAGTCAATCAAAATTTTTTTTTCTTATTTACATACGCTTTCATGTATTGTGAGCTGTTGAAGAGAAAGGTGCCATCAATTTTTGGACAGGTATCGGCAAAAAAGTTACAAGCGAAAAATCGTCGAAAAACTCGAAAATCGAAGGGATAGTCTTCTATTGATCATTATTGCCTATCAATGTTAGATTTTCTAAATAAGCCATGAATTTTTTAATGGAAAAATAACAGATAGCTAGCTTATGTGCAACTTACTAACTTGCACTAAAATGCGCTGGCAAATTGTCTATTAGGAGCAGAGCCACAATGCCAATGTGCCAGAAAACTTTATCAAATGGTAACAATCTGTGAATTAAAAACTGGGTTTTCCCATTTAATTCTAATTTTTTGTTAATTTTAAAACAGGCGACTTCCGACTAACTTCCTTTCGACCTATTTCAATAGTTATCGAGTGAACGTTCGTTGAAAGTTCCCCAAAATAATTCAAGCTCCACATAGAAATACAGTATACTTGAAGAATAAATTTAAAAAAAACAGCGTTTATTTTTAAGGTTTGCGATATTTGCCTATCAATTTATTTTTCATTTCGAAAAAACTACTAATTTTATACACCAAATATGTTGTTCCCGTGATGGTCGTCGTCGTCTAAAATCCGTTCAACTTTTGCTTTCGGAAAGATTCTTGTTGTAACCATCGAAAAAATGTTGCGACGCTTTAGAAGGTACGTGCATTACCATATTATCTCACATTACTATTTAACAGCATGTGCTCTATTTGTGTGAGTGTTTCGTCTACAAGATGATGACTAGAAGCAGAGTTGTGCTTATTCTAGTTACTACTGCTCTCAAATTGCTTTCCAATCAATTTTAAGAATTACTTGATTGCTGTCTTGGTATTCTAAAGTATTGTTGAAGGAATGTAGTTTGTTAGAGTTGCTGGAAAAAGTAAGAGCAAAGTATTTTCTTTAGTTTTGCAAGCGAATCGTACTTTGATACTGTCCTTTGATCATTGAGTAATATAAGTTGAGTTGAGTTGAGTTGTAATAATAACTTCTGACTTGCTCCTGTTTATGTAGAAGGTATGATAACATTGTCAGACCTTTTGACTTCGTTACTTCGAGAGAAACCAAGATGATTTATATGCCAGTTTGTGGGAAATCTTCCCATTTTTTACAAATAATTAAAATATAATACATACAGCAACACGTCCCAGATCTAACTTCCATTTTTTTAATTGTCGGATTCGACGTCAAAGTATTAGCACATTTTACATAATATCCCATTTAAGTTCAACTGTTCCTGAGCCAAAAAGAATAACAAATCGACTTTCTACTGAAGCTGAGTAACTCAAACTCGGACGTTTAAATAGTTAAAATTAAAAAAAAACAAATTAAGATTCCAGGAGTCAATGAACTAAGTGATCAAAATGCAGCCGAAATATTTTCTTGATATTCATGTGGGTAATATTTTGGTCATTCTAATGACCGTCGGTTCGTTTTCCTGATTTTCATATTCCTTTGAAAACATTTTTTCTCATAACTGTTCAATTGCGACTTTTAATATTCCTTGATTTCTTGTAGTTTCCATGTTATAATTTATTGAATCTACTGATTGAAGATGGTCGAAGCTATCTTGTTTCTTTTAAGACTGTTCTACTTTGTCGCATTTTTTTACTATTTTCCTTTACCACTTTCAACTCCTGTAATTGCTTGTTTTTATTTTCCTTCGTGTATTTGATAATTTTCATTCTTGCATAACCTGCTTTCTTGCATTCGATCCAGTACTTTTTCAGTCATCCACTGCTTTTTTGTATCTTTGTATTATGTATTTTTCAATTTTAGACCCTATATTTTTTACGTATAAATTTTATTGTCTCCCCATGAGTAAACTGAGTGCATACTTACGCTATAATCTAAAGGAATTATGCTATAATCTGAAAAAATTAGTATAGCAAATTTCTCTTTGTAGATTTATCAATCGGCGACGTAATGTTGACCACGACCGATCACCACTTTACTGTTCCTCCCCGGATGAAAATTATCATATGATCCACATGCAACTGCTACAATTTATTGAAAAGAGTGTGGGTGATCACGTATATCTTGTAGGAGAAGAACTGATTGAAGCAACGGGTCCTGATGTCTTTCCTCATACATTCCAAATTCGAATAACTGTAAACACGGATCAAGGTTTGCCTCTTCATTTCAATTTATTTGTGAAAATACTAATAGCAGATCAGTGCGACTTAGCGCAGAGAGAGCGTGCTTATATGAGGTTAGATGTTCTGATTAATCTGAAAAAAGAAATTCAAATGTATTCAGAAGTTATACCGAAAATTGCGAAATTTCAAAAGCTAAGGATGATTAACACAGATTGTCGTGTTTCAAATTTATTTGAAAAATGTTTTGGAACCAGAATAAGTATCGAGCCACGACTTCCAAAACTGCCCGATTACTCTAGTGCGATACTTCTTTCCAACCCACACGAAAAATATACATTTCAAGCATGTGAAACTGAAGGAAGCAGAAATAACGGCTTTACATATGACACTACCATACTGATTCTACGGGACATGGCTTATTTCCATGCAGGTACACTAGCAATGCGTCTTAAAAAAAAAGCTCTATTCCTACGAACAATTGTTCCGATCTTAAATTTGGAAGTGAAAGAGTATGAGCAAGCGCCCCCTGTTGAAATGCTTTTCAAAGAATTGATTAGCTACGGGTTAAGAGATCTCCAATTGTCAGATGATCAAAGAGTGGCCATTCGAGATTCCCTCCAGCTTTCTAGATTATATAATCGATTTGTCAGAGAAGAAACAGATCAAACTTGGTACGCATTAAGCTATTCCCGATACAGCATGTCCTATATAATGACAAAACAAACATGGGAAGATGCAACGAACCCAAGCAAACTGATCGATTTACATAGAGTCGGTTTTGATCACTGTTGTAAGGATTTGGCAAATTTTATATTTACGAGCGTAAGACCTGAGAGCTTCAATGGGCAATGGAGTTTCTCAAATTTGTTGCACGAATATTTATATGAATTTTTACGTACTTTACGATGGCATAGAGTCCCCATGGGACAATACACTTGGGACAATTTTAGAGCAGAATTTCACGCCGTCGGTGCGAAAATGTTGGCTGATATTTTTATGAATATTAGAACTAGTTTTTGCAGAAACTACAAGGGGAATGAGGATCCAATATTAAGCAACGAATATCGCAAAAGAATTACAGCTGCTTTAAATACTATGACAATATTTCAATGGATAAAAGTTTTCGACTCGAATTCTGCCAACGGTTCGCCCGATAGCGATTTAATAGTATTTGACTAATTACGTTATTTATGTACATTTATGTAAGTACGTTTTAGAAAATGTGTTGGTATCACTTTATAATAGTACGGTATTTCATATCTAATAGATGTAACTCTTCCCAAAGGAAGCTCAATTTTACTTTATTAAACCATGTTTAAATAGGATCAATCTCCAGTGTCATGAAATTTTCTGTGAATGTATTGGTGTATAAATGTCTGATTTTCTTAGAGTCAAATCAATATATATAAGCCAAGAATTAGCATGCTTTTCTTACAATTTACACGAAAGACTTTGCTTTATTGCTATTATTACTAGTTTGAGCACTTTTCCACTATATAAAAAAACAAATTAAATGAATATTATTCATTTTCGCCAGTGTTAAAATGGAAACACAATAAATGAACAAGCAATATCTAAGAAGTTTTTTTCATTTCTTATTAGATTTGAAACTGGTTAGATGGAAAAATGTCAACTAAACTTTAAGAGAACCACATGCAATTCAAAAATTACATGTATTGAATTTGAAGAAACTAGTATTACTCTAAGACGCTTAAAATGTTTACAATTAATATATACTGTGACAAATTTATAATATTTCGTCATACAGATAATGTGCCATTTAAATTCATTGTTTAAAATGAATATATACATTACATCAATAATTGGCTATTATTTCAACCCTACTGATCGATAAATATATCTATGTATTTTCAGCATATCTCCGTGAAATATGTTCACCTACTTCAAAAGTTTCCACCTAGTAAGAAGAAATACAGAGACTTAAAAAATGTATTTTTTGAATGCCCAATTGAGCCAAAAATAAAATTGCAAATAATCTCCTGTACTATTAGTTAAGCCGATCAGGCGACTTTCTCCTCTGGAATATAAATTCTAATTTGCGAGTACAACCGTAGATAAATAGAGTTGAAAAAGTTGAAAAGAAAGTCACATAGTTCATTAGTTAATTTTCTTTCATTCCGTAAGAAAGAACTGTAGAAATATAAGCCCCATATACTCAAGTGTCTGTGAATCATCTCATCTCCAAGTAATGTCCAATGATCTTTAGTGAATCTGCAGACTTTTATCACAGCTTCTTTTATCCCACCTTATATGTAAATTAACTAACGCGGCATCTCGTAATACTCGGAGGAGCAAAATAAAGCAAAGGCACAAGCAGATTTTTTGCTCTGCTCTGAATGTAGAGTGGATGGTGCGTATATGGTTTAGAGCCTGATGACGCTGGCATATTAACGAATGTTCCGGCAAATTKTCCGTAAGGAACAGAGCCACAATTCCACAAGCAAGCAAAGATGCATATACGCCAGAARAAAAGCGTACCAGAAAAATAAMTAACCCAATCCKACTCATGTACCTACTTTGCGACATAATGACATAATTAAAGGGTAACAATGTGAAAACTGAGTTTTTTTACTTAGATGCAATCTTGAATTAATTTTGGGACACCCCTTACTAAGCTATTTCAATAGTTTTTCAGTAGATGTWKCMYRAAAATYMCCTACAGGCACARTGTGCTWGMASAATAAATYAMMWAMAKGCCGTTTATATCAAAAGGTTTGCAGTTGATTTGCGATACRTTCCTATGGATTTATTTACCATCATAAAATCTRCTCTATTTTATGTATCAAATATTTTGTTCCCGTGATGGTTGTCGTCGACTAGAATCCGTTTAATTTTTGTTTTTAAAGACTCTTCTATGATGGAAAAAATGTTGCGCCGTATTAGAAGGTAAGTGTATTATGTATATATCACTCATTTTACGATGTGAAAACGTAATGGAAAACCATTAACCATATTTTCAATTGGTTTGCAAACGTACTTTACATCTGTTGTTTGTTTATTATGTTTTATGAGTCAGGTCGTCATTGTACGTTAAATTACGAACAGATTTCATTCGTATAGTCTCTATCTCAGATAAAATGTTTCCGCTACTAAAAAACCACTAAAAATGGACTTTCTGCAGAAACTTCGTATATTCATTAATTTTCATTCCAGAAATAAGCGAATTAGATGCTCAACATGTCCCCATTTTCTTGAGTACATATTCTATAAATTCGTTTTTGATTCTTCATTTTTTATTTTATTGGGCTATTTGATGGTCCCTATCCAAGCATGCATTTCCTTCCTCCTCCCATTAGATCACGTACTTTTTCCCAAATGAGCGTACAATTAGGCTTTAATCTAAAGGAATTAAGTTGTGATCTGCAGATAGACGAATAGCAAATTTTTCTTTGCAGATTTTGCAGTCTGCGTCGGAATGTTGACGACGACCGCTCACCACTTGGCCGGTCTACCCCGGATAAAGACCGTCCTTTTCATATAAACAATATGCAGCTGCGACAATTTCTTGAGCAGCACTTGGGTGGTCGTGTAGATATTGAAGAAGAACATGTGACTCCCCAGCAGGCTGGTGATCCCGTGCCCTGTACATTCCAGATTCAAGTTACAGTAAGAACAAATTCAAAGACACTCTTGACTCTCAACTTGTTTGTAAAAATGTTAATGGATGATCAGGACGACTTACCGAAGATAGAGCGTGCGTATATGAGATTAGACGAATTGATCAATATGAAAAAAGTAGTTCAAACGTATAACGTTGTTATACCGAAGATTGGGATGTTTCAAGAACAAATGAAAATTCAGAAACATTTTCTCATTTCAAATTTATTCCCAGAATGTGTTGGGGCCAGAATGAGTCTACAACCACGTCTTCTATATTTGCCCGATCAATCTAGTGCCATAATGCTTTACAACCCATGCGAACAATGTACATTTGATGCATGGGAACTGGAAGGATGTAGATATAACGGTTTTCGTTATAACACTAGCGTATTGATTCTTCGAGACATGGCTCGTTTTCATGCAGGCACAATAGCTATGCGTCTGAAAGGAAACACTACATTTGAGAGAGAAATTATTCCGATTGTTAGTTTGGAGGTGAAAAGATTTAAGAAAATTCCTCCTTTTGAAACGCTTTCCCACGAATTAATTAGCCATGGGCTAAGAGACGTCCAATTGCCAGATGATCAAATAGTGGCTATCCGAGAATCCCTCCACCTTTATAGATTAGACGATTGGATTATCAGAGCAGGCAGGGATCAAACTTGGTATGCATTAAGCTATTCCCGATACTGCAACCCCTATATAATGTCAAGCCAAACACGTTCAAATGCGACTAAGACAAGCAAACTGCTCGAATTGCATAGATCCGGATTTAATAACTGTTGTGAAGATTTAGCATCATTTATATTCACATGTGTAAACCCTGAGATCTTCGAGCTACGTTTTGCAATATTCCAGATGTTCGAAAATTTATTGGAGGAATATTACTATGAATTTAATCGTACTTTACAAGTGCATAAAATACCCATCGACCAATACACCTACCATGGCTTTACATCAGAATTTCATGCCGTGGGGAAGAAAATGTTGGCTCACATTTTTGAGAGCATAAAATCGTGTTTTTGCGAAAACTATAACAGGGATGGTGATCCAATTTTAAGTAACGAATATAGCAAAAGAATCAAGGCTACTGTTAACATTATGACAATGTATAAATGGATAAAACATTCGGACTCCAATTTTTCCGATGTTTCGACCGATAGAAATTTACTTCTATTGAGCTAATTAAATTATTTATTTAAGTGCGTTGTAGAAATTGTGTCCATGATGACTTTTTTACAGCAGCTTATTTCAAATGTATTAGTGGAAATTGTCCGTAAAAGCACAACTCTTCACAGCAAACTGAAGTGCCATAATCGTATGTAGTGTTATGTAATTTTACAATTGTATGAATGTGTGAGTTTTTAGAGTCAAAATCGATATGACGACATTCATATCATCGACATCGACGACTTACATATATATCGAAATATATATGTAAGACTAGAATTCGCATACGTCCCTCTTATAATTTATACTTAAAAGACACATATTTCATATTTATAACTATGTTTTCGCTTTCTTGCTTTTTTACTACTTTGTGTACTTTTCTATACACGCATTATAAAATGCAAAATAAATTGTATTTATTTTTGCCTTTTTTTAATGGGAAAACAATATATAAACAGAAAATATGCAAAATTATTTATAATTAGAGTTAAAGCTGCAACTGCAACTTTAAAGTTATACATGTACCGGATTTGACGAAAATTATGCAATATAGTAAAAATAATACAATGCTTGGTATTATTTTCGAATTGTTACGGCAATACAGAATGTAAACTATTTTATGAACTAAGTCGTTTACATGTCTAAAGTATTAAATTGTATATAAAATAGCACTTAATCTTATATCATTCATAAATGTACATAAGTATTTTGGTGGCTTGTTATAGACTTTAACCGAATACTTTGTCGGTTACAAGGCATTATTCTAATACGCTTAAAACTTTAGCAAATAATATACTCTGTGACGAATTTATACTGTTTAGTCAAACAAATGATGTGCCATTTAAATTAATTGAATGAATACATACATACATTACACCAATGATAGACTATTATTTTAACCTCCTTACCTATCAAATATATTTGTGTATATGTAACACGATTCCGTAAATTTGAAAATTATCCGCCTAACATAGAAAGCCTAACATATTAATTTTTAAATATCACGACAAAGCAGAAATGGATTTTAATGAAACTTGCGGTGGTAAATTCTTGAGTGTTTTTGTTTAGAATTAACTCATTTATTTTTTTAATTACACAATTTTATTTCTTGATTCGTGATGAGGGTGCAGTCTTGAAGCGTTCGTAGTGTTTGGACTAACAAAGTTTTCGCAATCCAATCTACAACTACAATCAACTAAATCACAGTTCATTACTGAAGTATTTTAAACAATAGGGTTCCAGATTTATTAGCGTCTTTGATCTTTGATTTCCCGTGCAAAAAGTTTCTCAGGCTTTATCAATTTAAATCCAACTGGTAGTGGATTGAACAATTTTATGCACATGTCGTGTGGACCAGTTTCAGTTACTGTTGGCCGATGTTGTGGGTAGTTTGCATTTAGTGTCCTCATGTTATTTTTTGCTACAAGATTGAATAAGAGTTTGTTTCGAATAAGAAATATTAAGCATTCATATATGTAAAGCGCATATGCTGTAAGAATTCCCATTTTCGTGGTATCCCACCATTATCCTCATAACTCGCTTTTTTATGACAAAAATGTTCAGACCATACAGTTCATCTGACCACTTTCACCCCAGACAATTATTCCGTATTTCGGCACAGTCTCAAAATTTGCGAAATATAATTGCCTACATGCACTCTGGTTCATATATCTGCCAACGATTCTAATGCCATAACATATTGAATTGAGTTTTGTGTTTAATGTGTTTATATGTAGGGATGGATCAATGATTTATGTATCTATTGATGAAAACTCCCAAGAGCTTTGTATTTTCTAACGATTTGAAACTTTCACAACTTATAATAATGTCTAAGAAGGTCCTTGTCTGGAAATAAATATGTTCATACGTAGCTAATAGACTCGAAACCGGTCCTGCGGGTGCCTGAGGCTGGCGCATTTCGAAATCTGCACTTGCCTATTTCAAACCTAGTACCGTTTACCGGCAAAAAATACCGTTTTACTTTAAAGAGTCTGCCTTTGATCTGTGATGCATGTCTATCAATATATTTCCGATCATAAAAACTTTGCATACACAAATATTTTGTGCCTCTGATAGTCGCCGCCTAGATTTGGCCGTTATATTGTGCGTTAATAATTTGTTTTCTGTTAATATTTAAGTAATCAAAAATGTTTGGCCCCCGCGTGTAAGTACAATTCATATTACTATGTGACAGCATGTGTAGTTTATGTTCTTCGTTGAATGCCACTCTTCCATCTAGCTAGCCAATCGCTAGGTATTTCGCCATTTTCTTTACTGCTGTTTCACTCAATTTCTGACGACACTCCATTTGACTGTCTCAAACGTTTTATCATCCTTTATTTTTTCTTTGAATTATTATGTTTAATAGTTTATATCTGTTTCAAAATTTGAGTTTTTTCATTACTTCACTAATATTTTGCCATCCTTCTTAACTATTACTTTCTACATCTTGAGCGATTCTAGCCAGCCTTCAAATCCAAGCAGCAATTTTGAAACGGCGTAAAGTCAAAGGATCCTAACTCTTAATTAATTAAAGTTTTTAATACATTTCTACAGTATAGTTTAACACGTATTTGCTATTTTGCTGTCGAGTTTGCAAGAATTTCTGTTTCTTCAGAAAGCTCTTATTTCTCTTTTGACTTTGACTTCTTATCCAAGTTATTCATTTACTTACATTCGTCCATTATTAAGTTTAACTGTTCTGTGAATCACGTTGAATAAATCTAACATTATTTCACGTTCATATATTTCAATATTTTATTTCTTTATTGCAGTCTTCCTCTGATAATTCCAGAAAATTTTCTTGTCTTACTGGTTTTTCATATTTTCTTTACATTTCCTGTTATCAGCATTTTACACCTGATAACCGCTATTAACAGTTTCTTGTTTGACTGCACTTCGGCTCTCAGTTAATCTTGTAATTAATTAATCATTCTGATTTCGTGCTATACTAACTCATTTATCATCCGCTGATATCGATGTCTTTTGCAGTACTTCAAGTATTGGTTTTTTTGTTTATTTCAAATGATGAACTTACAAGCACTCACTGATTTATTGTTGATGAAAATTTGTCAACTAAGAGGTTTTTAGCAATTCATTGTCTAATGAAGAAAACTAATAGACAAATATTATTTGCTTCAGGGTGAGTTTGAGATCGAGATAATAAGAGATTTTCATGTTTTTGAAAAATTAAAGTTTTTGAACAGTTTTAATGATTAAAGTTCTAGAATGAGTAGTACGATGCCCAGTCATAAACACACTGAGTCCCAGAAGTAATTTCTAACTTAATTTGAAATTAAGCGGACTCTTTTTTGGCTGTTTACGTAAAAAGCTCGAACCAATTATAGATTTTCAATCAAAGAAAAAGTCCTTTTTAAAAACCAAAGTTTTAGTTCGACATACAAGATTTCGCGTGCTGAAGACTCGACAGAGAATCAGAGTAATGGCAAATCGGCATAATTATAGATTAGATAGAAAATGATTCATAAGCAGAATATGTACAATCGCGCTGCTGCGTTCGTGTTTTGCATTTATGGCGTGGATCCGCCCTTCTTAATATTCGAAAATTGAGGAACGTGTTTTCGAATGGCAGGGTTGTTGGGTGCTTTCTTCTTCTTGCACTTCTTGCCGATTGGTCCTCCAGCATCTCCAGAACGATTGTGGCGTATTCTTCTTAACAACGAGGGTTGTGAAGAACACGACGACTATTATGACAAATAGTATCCAGGCCTTGATCCAACTTTGAGTTGAATCGGGATTGTAACCATTATGGAGTTTTGGTAAAGTTGATTTCGGTTATATTTTGCGTTTGCAATACTTTAATAGAATTGGAAGCTTGAATTTTCACGTTATTGAAAAAATTTATTCTGTTGATGATTTCAATTTGGCATCCATCTAGTATCGTGATCAACATTCATTTTTTAATTTGATGATGTTAATCTGTGTGGCATTTGGCTAACATGGTTTCTTCTTTGAGTATAAGATGATGATGATGTCCTGAGAGTACTAGGACTAGTTTTCGATTATCTTGATCGATTGGGTTTTGTAGATTGATTTTGAAGCCTAGACAAGCGGTAATTGATAAATTGTCCAATAAGTTTTCAATCCAGTTGTCTTTTGGGTGGAATTGCTCTGGACAGTAGTAATTGTCTTCTATTACTGGCGTCGATCGAGAATTGTTTTCTTGCTTGTGCTTAGCCATATATGGGAATTTGGGATCAATAGTGTCTTGTCATGGATCACTGACTAGATGTGGATGGACGGAATGTTTGTCGCAAAGATAATTTTTCTTCTGCAAATGAAGCTTGAGGACCAAAAAATTGATAATGCAATAGTGTGTTTTTGAAATTCGCAATGTTGGATTTTCGATAAATCTTGCTTACATGATTTAGTAAGTTTGATAGCTCTGGATATGAACGTGGAACGATTCAGAAAGTGATTCATCACGCCGCACAAATCCAAGCCTACCGACTGCGCCAATTAAAGATTCCCAAATCAAAAAGCCCTTTGAAAAACCAAAGTTTTATTTTGACATAGAAAATTTCGCGAGCTGAGTAGTGGGCAAATCGGCAAACTTATAGTCTAGATAGAAAATGCTTCATAAGTAGAATGTTTTCCATTGCGCTGCTGCGTTCGTGGTTTCCATTTATGACGTTCCATTTATTTATACAGGGTGGCATGGCCTGAATCATACTTAGAATTTAACGGAGAACTCAAAATTGAAATAAAAAATAGGTGCTTCCATTTGAAAAGATGAAGCTGATGGTCGTAATTTGTTTTTGGATCACCTTGTAAAAATAAATTTACCAATAAAACCGCATTTTGAAATAGAAATTGACGGGCTCAAGATTTTTTCCAAAAAAACACACGGCCAATTTTTAAATGAATTTAAACATTATTTCTGGGACTCACTGTTGATGTCAGTTATGAAATACACTCAATGGTTAATTGTTTTTAACTAGTAAGTTTATAGTGCACGATGTCTTCCTTGTTACCTTTCGACTATCTCTCTTTAATTGTTTATTAATTTGCTTATGTTTTTCGTTGTATACCTAATTATGTAATATTTTATTAGTTCGCCATAAGTTTTGCTGTGATGATCTGAAAAAGTTGCGCTTTAATCTGGAGAAATACATTACACAATTTTCTTTGCAGCTTATTCCTACAACGCAGAAATGTTCTGCGCGTAAGTTCAGATTCATCCTTGGAGGGAATCCCGTCTTCCTATGCTGTCGAGTTTAATCTGGTGAAATTTATTCGAATTATGAATGTTCGTGTTACAGGTATTCGAGAAGAACATGTGGAACATATATGGTCTGGTGATAACGTTCCGCATAAAATGTTACTTGAACTAAGAGCTCAGACAGCGATTGAGCTCTCGTTTTATTTAAAAGTATGTATGAAAGTGTTAGTGGTGAGTAACACCGACCTAGACCAAATAGCACATGCCTATATGAAACTAGACACTCTGATTAACATAAAAAAGGAAGTTTTAATGCATTATATTGTGATAAAGACGATTAAAAATTTTCAGAAGAAACTAAATATTAAGAGAAAAATGTGCTATGATTTTCTATTCCCAATATGTTATGGAGTCACAATGACGCTTAGATCAGTTATTGCAAATCTACCCGATCAATATAGTGCAATAGTGGTTGACAATGTAGAACTACATGGATATACGCCACATGAAACAGGAGGTAGTAGATATAGCGGCTTCAGTTATAATACTAGTAAAAAGATTCTACGAACCATGGCTCGTTTTCATGCTGGTCCAATAGCTATGCGCATTAAGAAAAAATCTAAATTTACGAGGAAAATTATTCCGATTTTAAATTTGGAGGTGAAGAAGTATGCTAAAGCGCCTCCTTTCCAAACGCTTTTTCAGGAATTGATTAGCTGTGGACTAACAGATTGCGAAATAACACGTGATCATATAGTAGAAATTCGAGATGCTCTTCACTGTTATAGATTGCATGACAGGAACAAAAATCAAACAGATCAAATTTGGAATACATTAAGCCATTCCCGATACTGGAATCCCTATATTATGACAAAGGAAGGCAAAGAAAGCATCTTGCTCGACACAAGTAGAATCAGTTATGATAGCTGTTGTACAAATATAATATCTTTTATGTTTACAAGCGTAGATCCTGAGGTCATCGAACAACAGCCGCAATTCGAAAATTTGTTAACCGAATATTACGATGCATTTAAGCGTACTTTAGAAAAGCATCAAATAAGCCTCGAAGAATATACCTGGAACAATTTTAGAACAGAATTTGACACCGTGGGACGAAGAATGTGCGCTAACATCTTTCTCAACATAAAAGCAAGTTATTGCCAAATCTTCTATCCACAAGGGGGAGCAATTGTTTTCAACGACGAATATCACAGAAGATTGAAAGCTGCTGTAAAAATGATGGCAGTCTATGATTGGATAAATATTTCTGTCTCCGATTCTGACTCTTCATCTTGGTAGCAATATCCGAATTCTATCTGCTCATTTCGTACATTTTAATGAAAAGGTCAGAAATTAGCAGAATATGCATAGACGTTTTTACATTTTCAAAATAATAGAATAGATATAATCTATTTGAAGAAAATGAGTGATACTGTAAAAAATACCTTTGTATTATTTTTAAATTGTAACGACAGTGTAGAACGGAAACCACAATATAAACTAAATAATTTTCATGTCTTACGTTTAAAAGTCCATAAAAATGTATATAATGTTACTATGTTACTAATGAAAATAATAGGGAATGTAATATAGGAGAATAGAACTAAAGTATAAGTAAGTAGTTTAAGTGCTTTCTTGATACTTTAGCCGGATATTTTCATGTTTGGCAACCCATTTTTTTCAAAATAGCATACACTGTGACAAATTTGTACTTTTTAGTAAAGTAAATAATGTATCATTAATTTAGTATTTCAAATGTAATAAACATTTTACAACAGCAATTAAGTATTATTTAACTTAAACCCGAGTGTTTAAAAAACAGTGCTCGTAAGGTGGCTTCCGAATTAGTTTCTCCAACAATAACAAAATTTAAAATGGGAAGATAATTTAAAAAAATGTTTGAAACATTATCTGGAGCTTTCTATTCCATTGGGATTCTGTTAATTTATCTGAGTATAAGGTTGGCAAAATTTGTCATTTTTATGGGTTATTTGGGAAACTTTTGCAGCCACTGAGAATCCATATGGGTGTTATGAGTTCAATTTTTGAGAAAAGAATCGAATAGTGCTTTTTAGAATTTGTACAGTGCAATGTATATTACACGTAAGTATTTTTCAATAGTTCTACAAATAATTTAATATGTTTTTTTATTTGAAATTGTCCCGTAACTGAAAGGTTTCAAAGTAACTTAGCTTACAATTTGCATTGCGTGCGACAACAATTAAGTAAAATAAGTAATACATTTTTAAGGTAAGGTAGTAAAAGGATTTGCACAAATTATAAATTTGCAAACTGTCTCCCATTCTTCTTTGCGAAAATTAATACCGATTCTTCACATAGTTCACAGCGTTGAGGATGTAATGGCCCGTAATTTCTCCCCGATCGCTGATATAATATTTTGGCGACGATATATTTTATAATTATTATGTCCCCAAGGAAAAATTTAAGGTTGTTAAATCCGGCAAAAGGACATTAACTAATTACTTAATTCTTTAAAACATCGCAAGAAAAACTTTCATAATATTTTTATTTTTTCTTGTAAATCCTATATCTGAAATTTTATCTGTTATACTTGAATCATTGATATCTTCTTGTTCTGTTCGTATTCATCCATAATTCTTGCATTCCAGCGATGTCTCGCATTTTGCTGTCACAATTATTAGACATCCTGTAGAGTAGAGTGTTTGTGTTTAAAATATTCAATATCGGAGGGCAAAATGTGCTTGAAAAATATCGACATTTTTATCGGTTGACGACTCCCAGTCGTCCATGGAATTAAACATTCCATTCCATCCATACCTTTTATTTGCAATAAAAAATTTATTGTAAAATTAGTTTCGTTTTCTACAGAAATATTTCGTCGCCTGTGAACGTTTAAGCCCTATTTTCTGATTTGATGTACTGAATATTTTTAATTCAAAATGAACAACGTTCGATCGTAAGTACAACTAACCAATTATAACTATAAACATATTTTTTGAAAGAATGGTCACGGTTTTATAATAAACATACGGGATGTCAATTTGAAAACTTTCCACCCCTAATATCTTTGTAACAGTTAAAAATATGAAAAATCGGACACGTGATTTGAATTTGTAAGGGGGACACTTTAAACAAATATTTTTTGCTTTCTTGTTTCAACCCCCTAGGAGAGGCCCAAGTGGCACACTGTTTTAAAGGGCATTCAATTCTCTTTTCAGTGGTATCCGACCTTGTTGCTTTTAGTCAAGAGGGTTCTGAATATTCTCGTTTCAAAGTTACAAAAACAATTAAATTTACCTGCATTCAGATTTCGGTTTTAAGATTAGTGTTTGCACAAAAATTATTGCATTAGGTTAATTATAGTACAAATTATTAGAAGAGTAGGTTACGCCGTTTAAATCGTTGAATAATAGGAAAGGAATATATGCTAATAGGAAGAAAATCTAGTCTAAATAATTGATTTCTTATTTATTGATTATTTTATTTCGAGAAAAACTTCTCTCATCAATCTGCCTTTCTCCCAGCGTTTTAAATTTTTAAATAAAAAAAAAACTATTTTTTCTCTACAAAAAAGGCAAAAAGGTATTAATTTTGAAACTGAGAAAATGTTATTAGAATATGACCATTAGTTCGTGGTTTAGAAGCCCTTAAACTTGCAACCGAAATTGCAAAATTCCCGCCACGAAAAGCAGCGACTAAATGGAAAAAATTCAAATTTCCAAACTAAGTGAACTAATTATTTGAAATTTTGATCCACTAAAAACTGAAGTTGCCACTTCAATCTGAGCAAATTGCCTGCCTTGGTTGATTTTTCAGACGCCTTTGAACTTGCAACAGAAATTTAAGTGTTCTCTTAATCGGTGGCAGCTCGCCCTAAGTAGAGTTAGTCGCTTTTTGAAATTATGCAGCATTGCAAAGGAGGGTATTGGCTTGAATCTGAAGAAAAATTATTGCAATGCGAGAGTTTACAGATTTTTTTACTAAATTTAAGACTCCTGCAAAGTGGCAACCGGACTAAGCAAAAATATTTAATTCTCAAACTGATATAGACAGCTACTGACGATTTTGCGAAAATCTGGAGCAACTTTTGGGTTTGCAGTCAATAAAACGTGATTCTGATATGAGTGTTGTCCGATTTACTACCATCTGGCCCGACAGTGGTTAAACAAAAGATTCTCGACAGATGGAATGGCAGATGGATTGGCAGAAGAAAACTCCAAGATACGCCACCTAAGGGGTTCAAACAGGAAAGCTAAAAATATTAATTTAAAGTATCCCCCTTACAAATAAAATTGAAGTGTTCCGATTTTTAACTGAAAGAAAGATATTAAGGGTGAAAAATTTTCAAGAGAAGTGAGAAGAAGAAGAGTAAGAGGTTGGTGCATTTCGAAATCTTCGACATCAGCAGACCCGTCATGAGATTTTCAAATACTTTACTTTCCCAAGCATAAAATGAATAACCCTGTATTTTAGATCGTGGGGACCCGCTGTATTATAAATTTAATCTAAACTTTCTACTACTGCTTTCTATATTTTCTGAAGTAACCAAATTATTTGCAAAGTTTGACTCAATGCAATTATAAAAATTAATTATTTTTTACAAACTGCGTGTTGGGTATTTCGCCTCAAAAATGTTTGTCTTTGATAAATCAGTCAGATTGATAAATAATGCTCCTATTTCGCAATAATATTAAATAATTAATTAGTTATATCTAAAAACATGCTCTACAACTTATGTTTTTTTATAGTTTCTTCGACAGGCTGAGGAACTCACCAATCTTAGGAGGCCGAAGAACTGAACAAATATTAACAGAAGGGTCCACGTCGGGTTTGTCATCCACTATACAAGAACGAAACGTGAAATCGTTTTTAGAGGACTGCTTTAATCAACCAGTAAATGTTTTAAATATTCTGACCACTGAGAAATCACCGGCAAACGAAATTCCTGTTGTTATTAAAATAACCGTAGTAGCAAAAATAGGACGAAGTAGAATAAGCGAGGATGTCCATATCATTATAAAAATGCTCCAAGAAGAAACATTTTTTATCGGCGATAATTCAAAATTGTTGATGCGACTGGACCATCTAACTAAAATAAAAAAGGAAATATGCGTGTTCGACTTAGTTATGGAAGCTTTCATAAAATTTCAAAAACCGAAGAACATTAAGATAAAAAATCAATTTTTCAATTTATTTGAGACATGCATAAGTTCCAGAGTTAGTTCATATGAATCAAATGATGCCAAATTTGCATTGCCTGATCCTTCAAGTGCTATACTATATAACGATTTGAGATACGATAAGTTTTATTTTGAAGACGAGCTTCTAGACTTTGACTACCCTACCACCCAAGAAGTAGTTAAAAATTTGGCTCGAATGCATGCGACGTCTGTGGCTTTCAGATTGCTCGAGCCCGAACGATTTAATGAAGAAGTTCTTTCTGTTTTGGAGTTGAAAGAAAGAGACTATGTCGTAAAGCCAACCTTTCCCGTTCACCTAAACCGAAAGTTGCTAAAATTCTGTTTGAAAGATAGCTTCTTCAATATAGACGTTATTCTTGCAGATATTGCACAGTATTCTATCCTCAATTGGTATTCAACAATATCTGAAGATCAAGAATGGATGGCTTTATGCCATTCGCAGTACTGGATTCCTAATATATTGGTTAAAAGAAATAGAAAGAGACAGGCAATTGCCAGTAAAGCCACAGCATTACATAAACTTGAGTTTAATAATTGCTGTCGCGATTTGGCGTTTTTTTTGTTTACAAGTGTTGAGCCTAAAATGTTAGAAATGCATTTTGAAGATATACTGAGGATGTATGTTAAAACATTTGAATGGGTTTTGGCAATACACAGTGTCCCTGATATCATCTGTGCTGCTTACATCTACGAGGAATTTCTAAAAGAGTTCGATGTCCAAGGTCCTAAAATCATATATAATTTATTGACCGATCTTCTACAAGTGACTTGTGACGAATATACGGAAGGAGGACTACCAATTCTAAATGCCCGATATAAAGAAAAAGTTATCCGCGTTTTAAAACTTATGGCACACTTTGAATGGATAAGTCCTGAATGTCGAAATCGCTAACAATAAAATATTCCCAGTATTGACACAATACATGTCTAATTATTTGTTCTGTACTTATTGTCATTTTAAATACATATTGGCATGCATCAGTAGTATACAATTTTGAAACTGATATATAAGTAAGCAAAACTTGCAAGTTTAATGTACGAAGACGCTAATTTTTGACTTTCCGTTTTAAGGAACGTTTAGGCTAATTTTACTGTTGTAGTTTAGTTAATTTTATTGCATTATTGCAAATAGAAAATTATTATAAAAATAAGTCTGTAGGTTTTTAATTGAAGCAATGCGCTTTAAAAAGTAGCTTCTGGCTCTTCTTATTCAAATGACATTACATTTGAAATCTATACCTTCTATTCTGGTTGTAAGTAGAAACCAAAGATATTATCATTTTTATAATAAATCATCTATTAAAATTTGGTATTTTATTTTTCTTACTCAACCTTAAAATACATATTTCATTTAGACGGAGACCTCCTTGATCATTACAGCAGTAAGTAGAGTCAGACCTTTTAGAACATCTCATTTCTGCAAAAATCTGCAATTATTAAAGGATTGATTTTAAAATAAATTTTAAGCATGAATATAGCGCTCTAGAATGTCAGTTTTATTTTGCATTACCATATCAAATACTCAAATAATGTATAACAAAAATACGACAATAATTTTTTAAGCAATGCCACATTTTAGATTTTGCAAAACGCTTTAAATTCCGTAGGAAATTCTTTGCATAAAATGTATATGCATGTTATTTGAGTTTCAAAGAGTTTTCTGACCGAGTAGAGAGTACTTCAAAATGAAACTTTCCAGGTAAATATTTTATTTGCAATATATTAGGTAAATTAAATTGATAGGACTGCAGATTGAGACAAAGATTATAATGTTTCAAGCTCAAGCATTAAATACATATTTTTCTCAATCGGTGTATGTTATTTACAGAGTGTTTGCTAAATAAATTAATTCCTTACTGCATCTAAGTACTTTTTAATGTATTTTCTCATGCATATGTTACGGTTACTGTTTCAATTGATGTCAATCTCAATATTACCCAGTTACTATCCAGAATTGCATGTTTGGTTGGTCAATATCCGAAAATTAGTTAATTAGCTATCATATAGAAGTCTTTAGTAATACATTCATTTAGTAATCCATTCAACATGCCAGAATAGACAGTATCCAGATAATGTTAATAATTCAAAAGTGGGCATGTGTGTTAAATTGAAGATTAACCTCTTAATGTCGATATCAGCCAAGTTCGAAGTTTAACCGTAACATATATTTGCCATGTTCGAAACCTTTATTTGATTTATATCTAAAGTGTTAAACTTATGATTTAAAAAATACATGTATTAATATTACGAAAACCATGAAACCGACTATCAACTAACCAGTAACTTCCAGTAAGGAGTGCTTCAACTTGCCAAACACATTGTAAAAAGGGTGGTCCGTAAAGAATACGTTAGTTATAGTGTAACTTCAGATTTTTTTGTAATTTTCTTGTAATTTATCCAAACATGCCTTAGTAAAATATTGCAATAATACCGGGCGTTAAGTTCGTATTTCCATCTCAAATGTATTCCATAATTTCACTTTAAATCGTTCAAAAAGTTGTAACAATATGTTTTTTATGGTGGAAATGTCGAATTTAAACCTTTACTAAAATAAGAACAGGTACTTAAAGTTTTAACATATCTTTTAGAGAACGCCATGCACTCTACGGTGTTTGGTTATTTTTCATCAAAACTTTTTTATTGAAACCAATTTTTAATAACGCATTTGCTAAACTGGTCGTTTCTCCAGTAAAAATGTACGAGTGTACTGTTTGTTATCGATAAACCAGCTCGTTTTTCTATATATTTCACTAGGTATACGGCAATATGTGGTTTCATGATTATGATTAAACCAGGTCTTTTTTAATAAATGTCCGATATTTCACAGGGCGATTTCACCAGTATATTTAAAGTTAAATAGTCATGGGTCGCAATCCAGCTGCAGGGCGCTAAAAGATTAATGTAAATTTTTGTTTCTTCTAAATAATTTTTCAAATAATATCGGTAATTGGACGAAACTTAAAATGTGATATTGGTTTTGCTCTTGCATGTAGAAAAGCTACATGTCTTTCTTTGATGAGCCCTAACTTTTTCTCGCAAGCTTGTATCTTATTTTTGAGGAAAAAAATCAATTGGTCTATTATTTATTTTACGCGAAAAAGATTTTATGAAAAGTCGCTAAAACCTCGAACGATGTGTTTTTCAAAAAGTGAAACAATTAGGAAACTGCCTAATCTTTTCAATTATCATAAAAATGTTAACAATATGATCCTTTCCCCCGTTACAAAAGGTTTTCCGTTTCCCACGTTACAAAACCCCCAAATGCCAAGTTGCGTCCAAATATCGCTATTATATCGAAAATTACTTAAAAAACAACAAAAATTAAACTAAATTTTATAACAGCTCAGTAGCTCGATAAGCAAAGCCTTGCAGACCTATTCTTATATGGATTTTTATTTTAAAAATAATAAAAGACACCTTGTATATTGCTAAATATGCAGGTTGTAAATTTTCTATACCAGCTCGTAGCCCAGATCTTAATACCTTAAATTTTTACTTTGGGAATCCATTAGATATACAGGGTCTCTCGTAAGGACATGATCAAAAAATCACTGCAGCATTTCTTGGTTCAAAAGAAGACGACCTAATTTTTATTAAGAAAAAATGTCTGGCTCGTCTGCCATGGATGGCCAAAGTTCTTAAAAACATTTTTTTTATGGTGAGGATTATGTGATGGATTTTAATGAAATTTTGAATGTGTTCCTTTGTAAGATGTTTTGATGAAACAACTGAGTTTGTCTGCATTGCGCAAGTGATAAATTATTGAGTGTCTTGGTACAAAAACTACTAGAACTTTTTATTTGGTCACTGTAATCAGCTGATGTTTTTTGAGCATGCACTACTCCTTTTTGGACATTTTTGGGCTCTTTGTAAAATCTTCTGGCAAACGTAGTTATTGCGAAAAAAAATTTTTGTTATTTTATTGTTATTATATAATTATTATTTAATGTTATTATTTAATAATTCGAGACATTAACAGCAAACAGAATAAATCTGAATTTAGACATTAACTGGATAACTTAATTTCAATCGTTTTATAATTTTTAATTTACCCATAATATCAAGGTCTTAAGTCCGATTGTCTTTTGTAAGCGTTTTATTCCGAATTACGTTCATCAGAAATCTCACGAAAAGAAGGAGCCAGTTTTTAGCAAAATGTGGCTTTGACGTAGAAATGTACAGCGAGTTTCATTAAAATCTCACCATTCTCCCGATATCTCAAAAACATATTTTTTTGAAGGGCTTATAGCAAACGAGCCAGACATTTTTTCTGCATAAAATATGAAAAATTCAAATATACATAGCTTTCCCCATAAGCTTCGTTTTCGAAATAAACAGCGTCAAACTTTACCTTAAAAAATACAAAATTCTGCAAAACGGTTTGATAAATTTTAATGAATAGTGTAGGGTGTGAATAGAATAATAGGGTGTGAACGGATAGTGGGTGTGAAAGCTGTAAGAGGCGAGTATTTTACTTTTTGTTCCTTGCATACCGCTATATCTTTAGATATTTATGAAGATAAATTGAACGACACTGGTTTTTTAATGAATCAAACATATATCTTAATTGATGGTTGAATTCTGAGGAAAAAAGCACACTTTGATAATGAAATTTCACATTAGTAAAACAAAGAACTAAACAGTTTATTTTAAGAATTATCTTCATTTATAACAGATTTAATATGTATTTATAATAGTTGCTGAAAAATTCTAATTTTTTTGCAATGATGCTATAATAAGCACCTCCGTATAAGACCCAAGTAAATTTTTATTTTTTTATATTAGAGCAGGATTTCAAGTGCTAAAAGGGTATTTTACTTTGAAAAATGCAATATTTAAATAAGGAAATAATAAAATATATTGGTTATTTTATATACATATAAAGACTAGATTAGTACCTGAGCAAAAGTCAACAAAAAGTACGTAATAAATTGAAATTTCCGATTAGTTGGTTCATTGCTCTCATACATGGCCTAAAAATTCTAAAATAAATAAAGTTCATGCGTTTATTGATTGTTTAAATAGGAAATACATATTTCAAAAACGGACTGGTTTTTGAAATATTGCCGATTCTGAATTGATAACAAACAAGTAGACTTTTTACGTTAAAAATAATCATCCCAGCAAATATACCATTCAAAATTCCGACAAAGCTTTCGTTTCCTAATCCTACAAAGTTTTGATAAAAAAATAACCACCAATCAGCATAGCGTGCGAAACACAGTTTAAAAATAAGTTCGGATTAAAATTTGCCGCCACTAAACACTTATTGCTCCAACTTTTTTGCGAAATTTCAATTAATATTGTAAATAGGAGCACTAGGAGTTGTAAAATATGTAGGAAAGTTAAATCAAATTTTTATTTGGAAATCTCAAATCTGCAGTTGCACTAAGACGTACTGAATATAGACTACCCTGTATATACTCTTATTAGTAATCAGTTTTATTAACTTTATAAATTGCGATACATTATCTTCAATTTGATTGATTAACAAAACAATAAAATTACTTATTTGTCAATTAAAATCATATCACGCATTCAAGTCGTTTTATCTACATTATCAGACAAATGGCTTCTTCTTCAACAAAACATACATATTTTACAGCTAAATAATTAGACTACATGAAGTGGACATAATAAATCAGATATTCATCCAATCTGAACTAGCCTAAACTGAGTTTTTTTTATATTTCAGTTTGAAAAAAGCCCACATTCACGACCAAACACATGGCGAAGTAAAACGACGACGACTACTAAGTTACATTGAAGCATTATTTGATGAAACAATTGAAGTCATAAGTGAAGAGGTGAAGCCACGCTCATTACCCCGAAATAACCCATACATCTTCGATCTAAATTTAGTAGTTCGAACAGCATCTGGACATGAAGAAAACTTCAACTGGATCGTAAAGGCCTTACAAGAAGACCCCAAGGCAACAATAACCACAAGGTACGATGTACAGGCTAGAATGACAAAGGAAATTCAACTAGTCGAACATTTTATTGATGCGGTCACAGGATATCAGAGTAGCATAATCAACTTAACTACCACTTACGAATCTTTATTTCCAAAAATGTATGGCTGTGGCACGTCGGGGAAAAAAGGGCATAAAGAAGCTGACCAGTTCTCAGTGCTAATTTACGAAAACTTAGATTCACTTGGCTACAACTTTGAAGATCCATGCAGGGGCTTTGATATGCCCACTGTTGAAGTAGCTGTTAAAAATTTGGCATATCTACATGCTGTTCCTATTGCAATGCGTTTGAAAAATACTTTCAAGTTCAAAGAAAGATGCCTTCATTTGTTCAACGAAATCCCTGATGGATCAACGGTTAAAGATTATCATAAAGAGATTTACAGGAAAATGCGCATTGGTTTAGACAAGCATCGAGAACTGGAAGAGCATCGTCCCAAAATTGAAACATGGATCCAAATATCTCAAAGATACTCCTGGACGGTTAAGTTATTTGATTCATTAGATTGGTTCACCGTGTGCCACCCTAGATACTCTATTCGTAATATAATGGTGCTGCGAGGTGAAAACGGCCAGCCTTTGAGCACTAAATTATTGGAAATGCATCGTTTGGAGTTCAATTCAGGTGTCAAGGATTTGATTTATTTTATGTTTACCAGCGTGGAGACAGAGGTATTAGAAACGAAAACTAATTTTGACAATATCCTGAAGATATATTATGAACATTTTATTTCAGTACTACAATGCCATGAAGTTGAATTAAAGGATATTGAAATATTTACTTTTTCAAGCTTTATAAAAGAGTTTAATACTATGGGACCGTATATGTTAGCTAACATTTTGTATACTTTGAGAACTATTGTTTATTCTAACATTGATGACAATGGCGAGCCTGTTCTAGAAAACGCATACCAAGAAAAGTTCAAAAAGATTATACAGAACTTTATTGGCCGCCAGTGGATTAGGGACCTTGTTCCAGATCGTAAGTCTTCATCCCCGCCGCAAGCGCCAGGCGGGCCGCCGCCCCCAGGCGATCAGCAACCTCCAGGCGAGCCGAAACCTCCAGGTGTCCCGCAACATCCAGCTGAACCACAGCTTCCAGCCGCGCTACAACCTTCAGGCGAAAAGCCTACAAGCGCGGCGTCAAAAAGCAAAACGCCTAAAACACCTAAAAGTGCCACCACGGGCGCATTGACTACAAGCTCACCAGCTACCAACGTGCCGCCTACAAAATCACCAGCTACAGGTGCACCTTCTTCAACAGTATTGACTAGAAGAGACAGCAAAAAGGATAAGAATAAAGGTACAGCAACGACTACCACGACTGCAGCAACTAAAGCCGCACCGTCAGTAAGTGCGTCTAAAAGCGCACCAGCTATCAACGTGCCACCTACCAAATCAGTGGCTAAAAGCACAGTAATTAAAAGTGCACCACCTTCAACCGTATTGCCTAGAAAAGGAAGCAAAACGTCTAAGAATAAAGGTACAACACCGACTACCACGACTGCAGCAACTAAAACCGCACCGTCAGTAAGTGGAACGGCTACCACAGGCGCATCGACCATAAGCTCACCAGTTACCAAGGTGCCGCTTACCAAAGCACCAGCTTCGAGCACGGTAACTACAAGTGCACCACCTCCAACCACCTTGTCTAGGAGCGGAAGCAAAAACTATAAGAAAAAAGCTACGACTGCCACCACTGCAGCAACTAAAACCGCACCGTCAGCAAGTGCGCCCCCTGTGAAGGCACCTTCTGGAGAGGCACCGCCTTTACCACCACGGCCTTCCAGCCACGCAGCAACTTCCAGCTTGCCGAAGGTTCCTCCTAGAAAGCTAACTCCAAAAACACCGCTAGCAAGCGCACAGTCGCCAAAAGCACCATCTTCAAGCTCACCACGTGTGAGAACCGCGCCTCCAAAGACACTGTCACTGCCTTTGAATGTTTCTCCTCGAACGACACCACCTACAAAGAAAACGCTTCCAAAGGCATTACCCTCAAGAGTACCACCTACACCTCCTCCAAGGAAACCGTCACTCACTTTGAGTCTCAAGTCTCCAACGCCTCCGGCTCCAACGCCTCCAGCTCCAAAGCCTCCAGCTCCAACGCCTCCAGCTCCAACGTCTCTGGCTCCATCGCCTCCGGCTACGAAAGTAACGTCACCAATGGCATCACCTTCAAGAGCAGCACGTTCAACGCTATCGCCAGCGCCATCACGGCCACCTCCACTGTGGAGCGCAGAGCATCCAATGAGATTTGCACCAGTTACACGTTTCCGTTGGAGACGTCCAAAACCATTCTCTGCAGGCACCCCATTTATAATTGTAACGCCTCCAAGGATATCGCCGCCTCCGAGTCCAGAGCCTCCAGCACTTCCTCCAAGGCAAAGGTCTCCAGCGAGATCATCTTCAAGCGAACGACCTACAAGGCTATCGCCTCAAAGAACGCTTTCACCGACTTGGAGGCCACGGCCTCCACAGAGACCGCCTGGAATCCCGACGCCTCCCATAACACATTCACCGTCTTCTAGTGCAGATCCTGCAACATCTCCTACAAAACAAACGTCTTCAGGGGCCTTAACTTCAAGCTCATCATTTAGAAGGCTATGGCGTCGAAAAACACATCCTCCTTCTTCGAGTCTAGAGCCTGCAGGGACATCTCCTACAAAGCAGACGTCCCCACAGACATCAACTTTAAGCGTACTACCTACAACGCAACCGCATCCAAGAACACCTTCACCATCTTTGAGTGCTGAGCCTGGAACGACATCTCCTACAAGGCAAACGGCCCCACAGGCAACTACCTCAAGCACACCACCTGCAATGCAATCGCCTTTAAGTACACCTTCACCGCCTTCGAGTGTAGAGCTTCCAACGACATCTCCTACAGGACAAACGTCTTCAAGTTCATCAATCTCAAGCTTATCACTTTCAAGGCTATGGCATCGAAGTAAATCTTCAACGTCTTCGAGTGTAGAGCGTGAAACGACGTCTCCTACAGAGCGAACGGCCTCACAGGCATCTACCTCAAGCACACCACCTAGAAGGCAAATGCATTCAAATACACCTTCACCGCCTTCGAGCGCAGAGCTTCCGCAGACATCTCCTTCAAGACGAACGTATCCAAGTGCATCAGCCTTAAGATCATCATTTAGAAGGCTATGGCGTCGAAGAAAATCTTCACCGTCTTCAAGCGCAGTGCCTGCACCGACATCTCCTACAGCACAAACGACTTCACAGGCATCTACCTCAAGCACACCACCTGCGAGGCAAACGCCTTCAAGTACACCTTCACCGTCTTCGAGTGCAGAGCCTGCACCGATATCTCCTACAGCACAAACGACCTTACAGGCATCTACCTCAAGCACACCACCTGCAAGGCAAACGCCTTCAAGTACACCCTCACCGTCTTCGAGTGCAGAGCTTCCAACGATATCTCCTACAAGTGAAACGTCTCCACGTGCATCAACCTCAAACGCACCGCCCACAAGGGAAGCGTCGCCACGTGCATCAACCTCAAACGCACCACCTACAATGGCAGCGGCTCCACGTGCATCAACCTCAAGATCACGACCTAGACGAAGATCTCCTTCACCGTCTTCGAGTTCAGAGACAGTCCGACTTACTTCAACTAGAAGTGAAACGCCGCCAAGCGCATAGCCTATCAGCTTGTAATGTCCAAGTGGATTCGAAAACTAGAACCGACGAAACTCTTGATTATCAGAAAGTAAACGTGACTATTTGTATATACTTATGTATATATTTGTATATACTTATGTATGTTCGTATTTTAAACTCATGAGTGATCATATATTTATGGTGTTCGTTTTGCATGTATGTAATGTGTTCATTCCTTTTTGAATTATTTCAGTTTTATATGAATACTTATTAATATAGGGTCTATATTAATAAAATATTTGAAATAAAATGTCTAGACTATAATCCATGTTTTTTAGTATGATTTCCTCTCCAAAAACCAAAAAGCCGTAAGTTTTAATATCGTCGAAATTGCTTGTATTTAAAACTAGTGTATTTCACGATAATAATTGTTACTACAAAGTGACTCAAATTTAAGTTGCACACCAAATTAACATTTTTTTTTAAATACAATGCGCTACTCTTAACTAACTAACAGTACTCCACGCTAAAGTGCAGGTGAGTTTAATGCAAATTACCTCTTCTTTAAGAAACCGATGAGGTCATAGATATGCGTGGAATATTAAGTAGAACTGAATTTCTCCTAACTTTCTAAAAAATTACAAATCTATAACTGTAAATTGTAATTCTAAATAAAGCCTTTCTATTTTGTCATTTTATCTTTTTTTTATTCTTCGACTATTTAATACACTATAAAAATAATGTCGATTGCTTCAATTGAGATCCCGATGTTAATATTTTGTCAATGTGAGATTTTTGCTTTTTGCTGATTTTCAAAGTGCTGCAAGTCCGTTTGAAGTTATTAAAGTTATAAATTTTTTTTAATCAGAATTTTATAAATTTAAACCGATTTTATATTAAATAAAAACAAAATTAGTGTAATAAAACGTATCCATATTTTTTAAATTATTCAAATGCGAAAGAAGCATATAAGGCCTATTTAAATATAATAAAAAAAATACAAACCAAAATCTTAAAGATAATCAATAAAAATTATTTGCCGGCAAATAGTTGTCCATTAAATGTCGAACAATTGTTGGCACTTGGCGCCTTGCTTATCACTATAATGACCTAAAAGAAATTTGTATAAATAGTGCATCCAAGACGAGACACAAAATAGTATAAATATCTAAGATGAAGAAAGTCATCAGTCTCTCTAATGACAGAAACTAAAAGGAATTCTAAAAGAAAACATTAAAAAACTAAGTCATATTTATGGGGCAAGCTGAGGATATCTATGTACAGATAGTTTGTCTATCTTTTTAAGATTACTATGTTATATCTGGTTAAATAAATTGAAATTGAAACCTCAAATATCTCCATATTAAATAAAATACTCAATGAAAACGGTTCATATATAAAAGTCAACTCAACAAAATGCGGTTGAGTATTTTCAACAGCTGTATTTTAACATTGACTGTATCATATATTTGCAAATAAAATTTACCAAAAATTTGACTTTTTTGAGTAATTTCACATTCTGGTTTTTGCAAAATACTTTCAATTCTTTCGACTGTTCGTTGTATGCCATTTTATGTGCTGTGTTAAGTGTAATTGAACGTACTTTCTGACGGAATTTAAGATTTCAAAATGTTGCATAGGTTTTCCAGGTAAATATTTTATTTGTAAGTTAATTGCCTAGACTACGTGTTCAGGTTTTGTGGTTTAGCAGTTATTTTAGCAGGACTCTGAGACCCGATAGAGCATTTTATTTAAACTAATTTGTGATATAGAGACATATCCCAGAAATCGCTTCGTTTTTGAAATACAGGACCTTAAAGTTTTTTATAAAGTTTACCACACAGTTCCTACAGTTTTTGTGATGATGATGATGTCTAAAAGTTTCGGCATAATGCAAAATATTTGCATGCTGAAATTTTTGAACCATCGCAGAGGAATTTACTAATGTATTTAAAAGTCTCTACACTGGACGTAAAATCCAAATGTTATTGTAAATGTGCGGTCATTGGCGTAGGTACCTCAGAAATTTCTAAATGGCCAATTCTGATCTTTGAAAAAATCACCTTGCATGTTTCGAAATGTGGACCATGATGGGTAATCTGCGGTAGCAATTTTATTAAATCGTCACTGAAATTTTAGGAGCCGTGTGGAAAATATTGCAAAAATGAAGCGTTTCCATACACATGTTTAAGGACAAAGTATACTTGAAGTTATCTGCTCAAGTGCTCTAGCAAATTCCTGAGTTCTGCTAGCATTAAGTGACTCCCCCTGTACAACATGTCTAAAATTAAAATGATACACATGTTTTTCTAGTATTGCCCCCTCTTAATATGCTTAATTTTACGCAAATACCTACTCTGGCAACAAGTAGTTTGTAGGATAAGTTTAAGGCCCGTTTTTTTTTAAGTATTTTTATTTCATTATAAGTGCATACATTGTTATGAAGTTCGGTAGATTTTTTAACTCTCTTGTAGACATGTTAATAACAGCAAACCTTTATTAGTAAAAATTGACAATTTTTTTGTCATTGGCACTGGAGTTATAGTGATTATTCCAGCTTTAGCCAGTGATTAGAGATCGACGGATTTTTATAAGCAAAATTAATTCTTTAGTGAGGAATAATATACATAAATGAGATAAATAAACCGTGTAATGTCAGATCATTTAAGTTTTCCTGGCTGTATTTCCAATTTTAATATTAACAATATTCCTGGGTTTCAGTCAATTATTTAGATATCACAATTTATGCAATTTTCTTAAAAACGTTTGGGTGTTTTTCCACCACCATCCGTTTTGTATAGTTGTTAAAATATTTTGTATATTATTTTATTTGTTATACATATTTAAATACAAATTTTTCGGTCGCCTTTTCATTGCATTGGAACAGTACTTCCTTAGCAATTTTTACGGCATTAAGCTGAATATTCGATATGATATTAACTGAATTCAATATTATAGTTATTATTATTATTAGTCAAACAATATTATAGTTATATTTTTCTGGTTACCATAGTCGATTGGTACTTTGGCCAACTTATTTATGTCACTTTCTCGATTTTTTGTCGTTGAATTGTTCTCTCTGCCTTATGTTTTTGTTCACTGATTTTTGGAAATCAATACAAAAGGAATTCGCTCTGCATTTTTTTTGCTTTTTCGAATAGGACTTTCTGGCCATAACAAACAATGTTTCAATGAAGTGTTTAGGTCGCTTGAGTGACCAAATAAAATTACTGAATTGTCCGATGTTCGCCTAAAACGTTTAMTTAYTKGGYTTTCCAACTCTCGAAGCAAGACAATTAGGAATGTCAACTATACAAATATCTGCTGTATAAAACTGACTTTCAGCAGATCAAGATGTTTTTCTTMTTKYTGYKTSAAWA